AAACAACTGGAACTGGAAGCCCCTTTCTCTCTCCCGCCTCATAATTTTCTCAAGGCGCGAATTACGGTCGCGTACACACAGTACGATGGCACGACCATCATCATCGTGCTCGTCTACGAGAGGAGGGGGCCGAAGAGGTATTTGTCCACTGAGCAGGAAGTAATCTGTTTCAATGTGGCCACTCGGCCAATAAACAACATACGGAGCTATGTACCTACCTACTTACGTTCACGACTCACTTAGATTTATCCGTGGGATTAAAACGATAACAAAACTCTTCTCTCTCTCGGAGACAAGAGATATCAAGATGCGAGGAATTTAAACGAGAAGCGGAGCCGCATTTCTGTCGACGAAAATTTTCGAATAAAATTTTCCATGATTGTTTTAACATAAGTTAGAAAGACGCATCACGAAGAAATTATTTTAATTACTCTTATTTTTCCGCCGCTTTTCTTTTTTGACGAAGAAAAGAAGATTTCACGTTTATTAGATCACCATTATATTTCACACGTCGCCCGATATACGAGTCATTTATCTTGAAAGTGGTATAAGTCGAGAGCTTTGGCGATCTTGTCGAGATAGATATATGAACATTATTTATATTCGCATCCTATTTAAATACATTTATATTGCGAAACCAGTCGCGCGCCACTCTCGGAATAAACGATGCGTATGACAATACCAACTTGTATCTCGTTTACGTCCTCGCGATCGAGGTGTCTCAGCGTGTCATACGACGACAGTAACATCGGTTCGCTTTACTGCCCGCCTACTTCGCACGCGGGATCCCATGTTCTAACAAGAAAATATGAGAGACATTGATTGACGCCCGTAAAACTCGGTGCGATATCCAACCGCACCGTTACCGTAAAATTGGGTCCGCGCGAATCCCGTTGCACGTGATATAGCAATGTAATACAAAATTGATTGCAGTCTGGCCGTATCTTCAATAAGGGAAAAAGAAAAGTCGCAGCGGCCAAGTGCTGAAAAAAAATCCATTAACGAAGTTTCTTTCATAAAAAAAAAAGAAACTAAAAACAAGGATCATTTCGAGAATTACGCGAACAATGGAAACGACCCTGCTCCTCTCTGGCGCTTGACGATGACAAGGAGCACTTGTCGCTTATCGAGAATACTAACTGCATCTCGAAGACCGCGTTTCATATTCGCGGACACGTAACACTTTGTTTCACGAGGAACAATCTCCCTCGTTCGACTTGGAAGGAGACCCCGGCTTCTTTTCCGCGTGATATAATTCACTCTTGCCGCGCCTGACGGCCTTGTGGTGTCGCCAAAGACGCGAACGAGAACATATCCCTTTGGCGAGAGTGTCCCGGTCCACGAGGTATTACACGATTGCCTCACGTAGGTTGCCGATATACATAGATAGAGCGACGGTGCCGGCTTATTAATTGGCATGCATAACCGTCGCCCTGCCCGCGCTTGTACTCCACTTAAATAATAATTACCTGGTCCGAAGTATCACGGTGCCGCGACGCGGGCGCCCACGTAGGCGCCGTTTATGCTTCGTTGCCGGGTCGCTCTCGAAACAGCCGGTGCTTGAAAGAAGGGAAAGGGTTTCGTGTCGCGGAATACGAATCGTTATACAGGGTGTTTCCGTGCTCTGGAGAAATATGCAAAGTTGAAAATGTCATCGAAGATGAAGATTTAGGACTTTCAAAAATCAAGATTTATAAAAGATTGCATTGAAAAAATCTGGCTGCATTAATTAGAAATTTGGTAGATTCAACTGGTACGTCTGTTGGAAAATGAACGAATCAGAATTCCTCTAGGAATTATCAGATGAAAATGATTAATTTCTTCCTGTTAAATTTACCAAATTTTCTTGCTAATGATACTAAATTTAAAAGAAAATGGCATCACTATGTCCATGTCAAGTTTTATAGATCCAACTAAAAAATATTAACCAAATACTCATAGTAAAGTCTATTAAACGTTCTAGTTATAAAAAATCGAGTCTTATCGTGATAGCTAGAAATTCTTAATTAAAATGCCTTCTATCAGATACATCTTGTTGGTACAATCAAATGATTTTTCTCAGTGTGCACAAGTAAATAATATAAATATTTTCTTTACTCTCGAGTATAAAACATTTTAATGATATTTTAATATTTCAATATTTATTACTGATAAGCGTATCGTTGTTATAAATTACACTCTCGGGGAGAGAAAGTGCTATTCTGTATTATTCGGGAGAGAAAGGGATTCATTAAAGCATCTCTGTCTGAGATCGAGAATATTGATCAAGCGATTGAATGGGATTGATAGGGGAGTTTAATGAATGGCGCGAAATGTGACCCGGAGCATCGAACAAGACGCAAGACGACTGTTATGCATGCATGTCGAAGCTAAAGCGCGATAGATTGCAAGCTGCAACGCAATAATCATGAATAAATTAAGTCCATCGATTTGACAAAAGGTCTGTGCGGAATATTGAGTACGTAATTATCGACACGTCCAATGAAGAAATACTCGAGCATTTGTATTTCCGATTGACGATATATGCGTGCGAAAGCGGTGTCCCTTGAAGAACGAGGATCGCAGATTGCAATGTCAGAAAGCGAAAAGGTTGTTGGAGGCAAGATTTTATACGTGTAACAGCGTCTTCCGTCCTCGAATTCTTATCTGTCAAATAAATCAAAATTTATATATTTTACATAGACACATAGATACAGCTTTTAATTAAACTACATATATTACAATGTCAGTGGGAAGATTTTGATATATACAATATTCGAGAATTAATTTTAAGACTGTAATTAATTCGACATCTGATAGTTTAGATATCGTTTATACGCAAAGAATTTTGTTTATTTTTTTTTTCATTACGAATTATTACTGAAGCGAAGAAAAAAAATTGCTGGTTAGAGGAACACGAGCGAGAATCGAGTCCAATCGAATCCATCAATAATCTATATTATATTTCCTGTTCTTGTCATGATCCGTTCTCCTCGCCTCGAAAAGAGACAGGATAATTCCGCATGTACCATATCTTCGTTATCGTTTATAAATCGATAATTTATTTATCAAGTTTATCTCGAGGCGATCGATATTGCGATAGTCCTCCGGCACCGAGCTATTTTACATGTACATATGAAAACTAAATGAAAATTGCATCATGATGGAGTTTTTTTTTTTCTTAGTTCGATAACTTGAATTTTTAAACACTTGAATAAATAAATTTTTTATAATAGTTCTTTACTATAACTAACATAAAACTAGTATAAAAAAATTCTCCAAGGGAATTTTAAAGGAAAAAAGGTCTATGTATCTCAAGGAGATCTATTCAAAGATTCCCTTGAGAGAGGGTTGGATTGAATCTGATTTTACGTAGGAAAAGTTTAATCTATCGATTACATATGGAACATGTTCACCGAGTGATCTCTCGATCTCGCGTACTCGACGGCAAAGTACGTCGTGAACGTATGCGTGAGTATATGAGTCGCATCTGAGTCAAGTGGGCTGCCGTGGAATGTCGTCCGAGGAGTTTTCGAGGGCTCCTCGAAGTCGCTGTCAAACCCGAGTACGCCTCCGTGACTGCCACGAGTGTCTCACGCGAGTACCTCGACGAGATCGTGCCGCGAACCGCTGCAACACCCCGCGAAGTGAATACACAGAGAACGAGAGACGCTCTTCTCCGACGTTTCTTTTCTTCTTTTTTATTTACCGACCATCTTGCCTCACGTCACCTCACCTTTCGTGAACGGTCGCATTCCGCGGAAGGTAGTCGCACGCATCTTTTGCATGAAACCACCTTTCTCTCTCTCAGATCGGTTCTTCGTTAAGGATGTCTTAGACTTCTACTCTTATAAATCGCTAATCCAGTTTTCTTCTTTTATGCATTTAAAGTGTTTATGTAGATTTTTTTAAATATTCGTTAAGATATTTTGTATTCAAAAAAGAAAAAGAAAGAGAGAGAGTATGTGAAGAAATTTGATATATAAAGAATTATGCTATTGAATTTCTAAATTTTAAAGACCTAAGGTTAAGTTTATTTGAAAGAGAAGTAACTGATATGTGAGATATATATCTATATAACTTTGTGTCAATACTTGTGCAAATAAATGATAAAAGTTAGACTGAAAGAAATAATTATTCGTTAATCTAATCGCTTATGTCTCAATTGTTTACAATATTAAACCGTCTTATCTGCAGCAATAAATAGCGAAAAATATCGCGATGCACTTAAGATATAAAAGGATTAGAGGTTTTTCTCACGAATCGTGTTAATGTGATAAGCAATATCGCGAGCACCGATATTGCTTGTAAATGCACTCTCATTTAGATGCAGAATACGATGCGTGTTTATTAGCGGATATAATTGGAGTGGCGCAATCAAGCGTACCGTCGCTCGAGGAATTCATGAATACAGTCGGCATCGGGGATCGCGAGCGAACGTTCGCGCATAGATATCTCTCGGAGAGAGGCAGCATCATTTTGCGGCGACCATCGTTGAATACGATGATGATGCGTGTGTCATTTCTACGAGGGAAATCGTCGTCGTCACAGCTATTCTTCCTTGATTTAAAATTGAAATATGCATTGAAAGAGAAATATTGCCAACAACAATCCTTATTATCGGTCGCTACGTGATTTTCAATGAGGCGATCTAGTAATTTCAATGAAACCCATCCAAGGTTGCGAAAGTTGAGTCCAGGTCGCGAGAGCCTCTTATGGAGGTCCATTAAAGCTACGACTTTTGTTTCGAGAAACTGCATTTCCGATTCTAGATAGAATTCTAGATTGATTTATTTCATTCGATCGTAAAGAAGGCTGGTTGACAAGTGTCCAAGAAAGTTTGACGGATGTCGCTACCAAAAATGTCACAGAAGCGACAAGCGGAGACAGCACGGCGACGTCTCGGCGACGTCAGTGGACTTTTAATGGGTTAATAGCGTCTGGCTTCGCGTATGGGACGCGCTTAACGACACGCGGAGAGCACGCGATGACGGAGATGTAAATAAAGTGTGTCTTTTCAGAGATAATTTGTACCGCTTGACGCTGACGTCGCTTACGGACCTGGAGCACGCCACGTGGTCCGCGCCGGAGGACAAGGTCAACACCTGTCAGAATAAGGGCCAGAGCGTCGAGGATTGTCGTAATTACGTCAAGGTGCTCCTCAGCAACGGCAAGAGCCTCTTCACCTGCGGCACTTACGCCTTCAGTCCGTGGTGCGCCTGGCGAGAGGTACGTCTTCGAAAGGAATTCGTCCGATCGGATTCGGACATCTCGTCCGTAATAACGAGCTCCGTGTTATTTTTTTTCCTCGCATCGTCGCGGCTGTCCTCACATCGGACGATGTCAATAAGATCAGATTACCGTCATTAGGCGCGACATTATGCTCGATGTGAACGGTAACGGGAGATTGCGGGCGTAGTTTTTTACGGTAGCAATTATGATCGCAGATCGAGAATATAACGAGCGTGACCAGCGAGATGGCGGGTGTGGCCATGTGTCCTTATTCACCGCATGCGAACGTCACGGCGCTTCTCTCGAGAGGTCCTTCCGGCGGCCTCTTCGCCGGCGGGTCGACCGACTTCTCCGGAGCCGATTCTGCGATCTACAGAACGTTGGCGTCACCGAATCTCAGGACACGACAATACGATTCCAAGTAAGTTTTATACAGTATCGCTCAAAAGTATTGCATCGCTTATAGAAACAGGAAAGAGATTATTTTAATGAACAAAAAACACATATTAATATTACAAAATTATATTTTATTACTATTATATTATGTGCTTTAATATCATGAAAATTAAAAATTGACAAATATTAAATTAAAAAATTAAATTAAAATTAAAAATGTTCAATTTTAGATTTTTCAAAATAGCCTTCTTTTATTTTCAATATTGTCTCACATACTCTTAGTGTTCTTGAAGAAATTTTTTTTTTTAATTGTCACTGAGATTTTAGAATATTTGTAAATATTTCCATAATTGTTCTTGACTAAAAGTCTCATTTTTCGGATATTTTCAAGCTCGTTCCATAATTATATTATAGTTTTATTGGATCTTAATCCGATGATTGATAGGGCCTGATAGGGTAATTGATTTTGAAGGCTATTTTGAAGAAACGACAAGTTAATATTTCTGTTATTATTTGTTATAATTTTTATTTGTGCGATATTAAAGGATAAAATAACAGTAATAAAATGCAAGTTAACAATTTTAATTAACAATAATCTTAATTTTTATAAATATTCCATTAAGATTTTTTTAAAGGATAAATGAGAGATTATATGCTATCATTGTCCAATTATATGCTATATTGCATGTTTAATCTTATTTATCGCGCGATATTTATCGTTCCGAGATCATGGTTTCTCTCAAGCTTGCGCTTTCCTTTTAGATGGCTGAATGACCCGCAGTTCGTCGGCAGCTTCGAGACGGAAGATCACGTGTACTTTCTATTTCGCGAATCCGCCGTTGAGTACATCAACTGCGGCAAGGTAAGATCGATTCCGTGAACAGAGAGCAAATCCGGCGTGACGTGTTTTCCATCATTCAGCGAGACACGCGAGGAGCCGTTTCTCGCAGACGATTAGCGATCTCGTCTTCACTGACTTGCGTCAGGCGTATATAATTAGCCGCTTACGGTGTTTGTCGAAACGAGCGTCGCATCGCGGATTTTTCTCTCCCGCGGCAGAAAAATATCATCTCCGGCAATCGTGATCTTAGTTCGCGCGATGTTTATCATTTTCTCAACCTATCGCCGCTCAAATTGCTGCCTAGGGGAATAGCTTTAATAAAATATTCCGCATCCGAGCGATGCTATCTTGATCGCAAGCGCGGGGTTAAACTCCGCTTCAACATGATTGGATTAATTTGTTAAACGCTACTTGAACGACACAAAGTTTGAAAGATGATTTTGAGATATTGTTACAAAATTTACTAAGAATTTTCTGTTTGATTAAAGAGATCAATACGACGATAATGCATTGTAATTGATCTTTGTCTAGGCAAAATTTACTTTAATCCATCATCTTGATATTACGTTGTGATATACGATTGCAGAAAATATACTCGAGGATAGCGAGGGTTTGCAAAAATGATCGAGGTGGACAGATTATGATGAAGGACGTATGGACGACCTTCAGTAAAGCCCGTTTGAATTGCTCCCTTCCCGGCGAATTTCCATTCTATTACGATGAGATTCAAGGCGCGGTTTATCATCCGGAAGAAGGAATCATTTACGCGACCTTCACCACTCCTATGTAAGTACTTATCATTCAGCGATTAATTCGCTGATGCATTAATTGTCATCTATGTTTATGTCTGTGCACAAACTCCAGGGAGATGCAAGAGACGGTAAATGACAAATTGATTATGCGATTTCGCGAAACGAATTTTATTTTGCACTTGACGCAAGTTGCAGATTAACCAGCATCACATTCATTAAAATTACAGTTTAAAATGATCGAATTAATTTTAAGTGAGTAATTAAAATTTAATTATTTAATATAATCTTATGAGTTAATGTAAATTGTGAATCAACAGTTTTATTTTGTAATCTATGCAATTTATTAGATTTTTACATGCAGAAATTTACGCCAATTATAATATGTTTAACATTTTTTTAATATTCAAAGTTTATCGAAGTTTTACTCCAGTTCTTCATGCTTGATAACACTGGAATGTTTTTTGAACATGAAGGCTGCAATTTCTTTCCCGGTCAAGCGATCGACTTTAATGGAATTCTTTTTTTTCCTTTTTTTCTCCCACCACAGTAACGGCATCGCAGGCTCGGCGATCTGCGCGTACAACATGTCGGCGATCGTCGCTAGTTTTAACGGGCCTTTTAAGTATCAGGAAAATGCGGGCGCCGCCTGGGAAAGGAGGCCGGTCGCGCATCATAATCGACAACGCTGCGGCCCTCTGTCCAGCACCGCGTCGCATCAGATCATGGATAATCAGCAGTACCAGTTGATGGACGAGGCGGTCCAGAGCACGATGCTGGGTCCGCTGCACACCGCGACCCTCGAGCGATTCACCCATATCGCGGTGGACGTGACGCCGACTAAACTGCACCGTAGCGTGACGGTCCTCTACGTCGCCACGGCGGCCGGACTGATCAAGAAGATCTCCGTTCTGCCTAGAACGCAGGAAACGTGCATCGTCGAGGTTTGGGGGCCTTTGCCCTCGCCATCGATGACGTTGCAATTCCTCAAGGACACGCAGAGCCTCTACGTCGGCATGGAAATTGGCCTCTTACGGTAAACATTTCTTATAGATGGTAGAATTGAAAATTTAACTGTCTCCGTTTATATTTCAAACGTGATTGATGTTACGTGCATATTATTGTAAATATAGATAACGTAAATCGATTATGAATCACGTTCAAAAGAAATAGAGACATCATTTGAGCCTTAATATAGTATATGTAATAAACATGTGTGCTTTTTAAATGCTTTGCTTAAACCGCATCATAATATCTTCCGCCATTTAGTATACCAGCAGTTCAATGTTATCGTCATCGGAGCCGTCAAGCGTGCCTGAATGCCCAGGAGCCGTATTGTGGATGGAACGAGCACCTCATGAAGTGTGCGCAAGCACCGAAACAGAATTATCTCGCGAATCATTGGCATCAGGAGGTCACCAAATGCCCGGTGCTCACCGATCCTGTCGACGGAGGCTGGAGCGCGTGGAGTTCTTGGTCGCCCTGTCAACACGGTACAGAGGAACAATTATCCGGACACGGTCACGCTCACTCTCACTCGCATAGCGAATACGCGGAGGTTGGTGTTCACTCATCAGATACATAGAGGATATCTTTAGTCTCGTTTAAAATAAGATCGAATGACAGTTCATTGACGTTTGACATAACCGAATGGAGCTTTGAAGTATCTGTACTATCTTTCACAAGCATTGTTTCTATCGAAAATAACGTTTAAAATCCGTTCTACAGAAGATTGACACGTGCCAGTGTCAGACCAGAGAATGCAACAATCCTCCGCCGCAGCACGGTGGCGAGAGCTGCACGGGTGCGCGCATCAGAGTAACAAATTGCACCGTTCACGGCGAATGGACCGCTTGGTCAGCATATTCAGCCTGCACTCAGACTTGCGGTTTCGCGATGAAAAGTCGGCGACGAACTTGCACAAATCCAGCTCCTGCGTTCGGCGGGCGCGTTTGCGTTGGTTATGACCACGATGATACTATGTGCATCGATCTGCCACCTTGTCCTGTTCCCACTAAAGTCACCCCGCCGCCTCAGAACGGACAGTGGTCAACCTGGGGACCCTGGCTTGCGTGTTCGCGACCATGCAATGGCGGTGAGTATCTTATAGCAGCATAATTATATAATAATATCCATACAATGTAAGAAACTAAAAAGTTATTAACAAAATATTTTGAAGAATTACAGATTTCTCGATATTCTTTAGATAGTTGCATTATTTAAAATAATATTAATGTAATTTATAATTTATGCTCTTTCATAACATGAAAGTTTAAAAAATTAACAAATTACATTTTATAGGGGTACGTATTAGAAAGAGGACCTGCGACAACCCATCGCCAAAGAAAGGTGGCGTTGAATGCCCTGGATGCGATTTTCAGGTAAGTTTCGGTGTCTCGGTGAAAAAATATTTCTTTATTCGCTGATATAGCTTTAAATTTTTTTAAATATATCAAGTAGAAATTGTTTGACGAAAGCGAATTTTTTAGCTTGAAGAATGTAACACTCACGAATGCACTGAAACGAGACGGTATTCTGGATGGACTCCCTGGTTAGCAGTAAATGCCAGTTTGCAGAGCGTTAATACGGGCTATCTGGAGAAACGTTTCCGATTCAGTTGTCGCGCACAGACGGATGATCCGTCAAGCGTACGAGTGCAACTTGCTAAGGAAGAAGAACGCTATTGTCGAAATGATGGATCTTGCCAGAGAGGAAAAGATGCGGAATCCATCAATGAGAGCGGCTGGAGCGAATGGTCTTCCTGGGGTTCATGCGATCGTTCTTGCGGGCGAGGTACCCAGCATAGAGTAAGTATTATTTGTCACAGTTGTTGATGTCTTCCAACATATAAACATAGTAATGGTATTTTATGAAATTATTGTTTGATTTATCTTTGATTAAATTATAAAAATTTTATTTAAACTAATAAATTATTAATGCAATTATTAAGGTATATCAAATTTAGACCATTGTTATTACATCTAAATACGAAAGCATATATTCTATGTTTTTACAGGTAAGGCAATGCGAATCGCCACCATGCGAAGGTGGTCTCTCTGCACAGAGTAGAATCTGCAACCCGCATCCGTGCCACGTGAATGCAGGCAGTGGCAGCACAGTGGAAGGGCAATGGTCATGTTGGACAGAGTGGTCCGAATGCTCGGCAACCTGTGGCATCGGTATACGTACTAGGACGAGAGAGTGCCTCGGTCCGGAGAGCTGCAACGGTCCTCGATTGGATAGGGAGACTTGCGAAATGGCCAGTTGCGAATCACTGGTCGGTTGGGACACGTGGTCACGTTGGACCCCGTGTGATGGTGACCATCAACAACACCGAAAACGAGCATGCCTACAACATGGATCCGGCATGTGCGAAGGGCCGACTCGCGAGACACGCGATTGCCTTCCAGACTGCATGGACAACGGTGAGTTTATTGGAAAGTTTAAAAAATCTATAACGATATATAAAAAAAATTATAAAAATATACGTTATCTTTATATTTCTCTACGATATTTCTAAAATATAAAAATTTTATTGATGTATTGAAGTTATATTGAAGTATTTTTATATTGAAGTATTATTGGACATGTTTTTCCAGATGTAAACGCTTTGCCTTCAAGCGTGGAGAACTCAAGCGTTACGGTGGGTGCAGTAGTAGGCAGCTGTGTAATCGGTTTTGTCATCGGCCTGACATTAACCGCGGTTCTGTGTTTCTTCTATTTGAAACGACGCAAACCGCGCCTGCCAGGAAATCCGCATTATATCAGCAAACAAAATCCTTACGTCACTGTGCCATTGAAAGAGGTAAAAGAATTGAAGGAGCGCACTCGTCTGGATATTTGAGCATAATAACTCTAAATATCCTTGACATGAATACTCAAAAGGAGTTAATTTTTACAGGTGAACGCAAAGCGACAACCTAGCTTTTCGGGTAGCACCAACGGAAACGGGACTCTACGTGGTAAGAATAATCCCAATGTTAACGGTCTTGGTAGTCCCAAACTATATCCGAAGAGTCTCGATTATGAATCTGCTACCCTAAAGCGTAACAGTCACGGCCAACAACATATTCGTGCCGATCTTGATCAGGACAAGTACTACTGAACGAGCCATCCACATGGAATCGTGCAAATAGTGCGTCGTTTAATTTGTGCTCTGGTCTTTCCGATCAGTAGTGTGATCCTCGTGTGATTTATTTCTATGGTGAGTCATATATAACGTTGCTCTGACCCCGAATGTTAATTTATTCTCGCATTTGGCAACTGCATTTTTATTGATCGATTAGCGTTCGATTGATGTTAAAAGTGACGCATGTATGACTCGAGGACTCGACGGACTTCCACGTTATAGGAAGAGTATATCTACTTAATTAAATTAAGGCGACGAGATAATCGATCAAAAGAGCGCCTGTCGACAAGACTATATTCTTAATATTAAGATTAGTGATATACATATTCTCTAGCGCGTTCGAAAGTTAGCGACAATGCTGCGATTAACGGCGCAAAAAAATTTGAGATTGTTGTACAGGTATACATTTGTCATTTTAATCGATGACCCCGAATAACTTTTTTAATTTTGATTGTAGAAAAAAATGTTTCAGACAAAAGTTGTATGGCTTGAAGGGGGACATAAGATGGTATCATTGATTTTATCTTGAAAAGTTGTTTGAAGGTCACATGAAGGCCACCTTCAATTTTTTTAAAAAACCCCCTATTTTTTATTATTTACTTTTTAAGATAGGATTCTTGTAGCTTATCTCAAGAGCTTTTCAAAACACTATAAGTATTTCATTGAGTACTTTGCGAGTTATGAGGCTTGAAATAATATCTTAATTTTACATAAACCGTAAAATATCTAGTAAAATATTTATTTTTCGATTATCCTTAATACTTTTATGTACAAAATAATGAGAGGAATCAATTGGTGTAAAGGAAAAACACAGTTGTTTTTAAGAAAAAATATGGAATTGTTAATTGCAAATTACATATTTTTTCTTCGAAATAATTATGTGTTTTCTTTACAGCAATTGATTCCTCTCATTATTTTGTACATAAAAGTATTAAGGTAGGATAATCGAAAAATGAATATTTTACTAGATATTTTATGGTTTATGTAAAATTACGAAATGATCTTAATGAAAACTAACTTAATTATAATGTTTTGAAAAGTTCTCGAGATGAACTAAAAAAAATATGCAAAAGCATATAGGGTGTCCCATTTAAAAAGTTGGATGTGACCTTCACGTGACTTTCAGGTGACTCTTCAATGTCAAACTAAAGACACCATATTCGGGGTTATCGATTAAAATGGAACACTCTGTATATTGAACGAAGATAAAAAAATTCGATAAAAATATTTCGATAAGAACAGTGTATTTTCATAATAGCGGTTTTATGATAAAAATAAATACGCTTCATAGTCGAGCGACATTTCACAATACATCGTTTCCAGAGCGACGCAATAGCTCAGAGAAAATCGTTGTTTCGAGAGATTTTATAAGAGTTTATTTTTGTTTCTGTATCATATATATATATATGCATATCCTTTCTCCTAAAAAGAGATTAAGAACGTAAACGAAATCGAGAATTAATTTTGCTCATGTCTGGGCATTCGACTCTTTGATTCATTTGTACAAAGTTTCACGATTCATCTTAATGATTGTTTATAAGTCATATACTCTATATACTTTATATATGAACTAAGTTTATTTCTGCAAGAAAGAGGAAAACAGGGAAATATGTTTATTACGCTGCTATAGATAAACGGTTGATTTATTAAGGATTGATTGGAAGTTGTACAAATACAAAATGTGTTTTATATATATATATATATATATATATATACGTCTTGAAGAAAGAAAGTCCGTCTCTTTTATGTTTTTATGTTTTATTTCGAAGAACTATCGAATATTTTATATCGATGTAGTGCCATGATACGGAGTTGTATATAAAAATGCATCTTCTTAAACGTAGTTTTATGACGATGGAATAAATGTGTATATCATATGCGTGTATAATAGATGTGTAACGATGAACGGGAGCGTCCCGTTTGACCACGTTGCGATTGACCACAGCCAATTATATCGACTTGTGCCTTAGGATAACTAGGAACGATTAACCAACCAAAAGTTCTATTTTGAATTGGCCAATTGGTGACATGGTCAATCGGATGCTACCCACGATGAACACATATGTTGCGCCACGATTGCGTTTATATTGGCTCATATTGAGTCGCGTGTGCGACCATTAGCATAATTTACCTGTGCTTGTCGCAATAAGTAACATTTCTCATTTGGAATTTAGAAAAATGTCTTCCAGGACACCAAATTAAAAGTTTTTCTATCGTGTGTTAATTACTTCCTATGAGACAATTATGTAATGCTATGGAAGAATAAGACAATATGCGAGAAATGTAGAGATTTTTGACATAACGACATTTAATATTATCTTATATAAGATGAAGTATCATTAGCAAGGTCACGTGTATATGCGATTAAATACTGTATGCAATGCATTTATCCGCACACTCGTTTGCAATAAATAAATATTCTTTTTAATAATTTTAGAAATTATACTAATAATGATAATAAAAATTGATACAAATATTTTTATATTCTCGATGGAAAAATGAGTTTAATATCTTGTACATGAATTTCATAAGCAGAAGAGATTAAGACAATGATTTATCTAACTCTAACGCAACTTTTTCAATTTCTTTAATAACATAATCCATGGACGATTCCGTGGGCGGTGGTTGACAGGTGACGACCATGCGAAGGAAGTTGCCGCACTCCTTATGCAATAAAGGTGTATAATTGATCATGACTGATCCGCGCAAAGTCAGATATTTTTTTATCTCAATTGTTATATTGTATAGCTGTTTCCACCAATTTAAAGTTTCTGGCTGATCACGCATTTTTGGTGGTATATACCTAAAATGAAACTCATCGTAACATCGATCGCGAATTTCACATTTAATCATGTAAAGTTATTTACCAAAAGCAAATAGTGCACAACTGATAATCAGACTGCACCAATCGGAAGCCAGGAGTTTCTCGAATCCGTTTCAAGAAATATTCCACACAGCGCATTGCATTATCTACTAATGATCCAAGGCCTATCGTGCCGCGAGCTTTCCACATTAACCAAAACTTCATTGCATCGACCTTGACACATATTATTAAATCATAAATATTAAAAAATGTGATTTTTTCAATCAAATATTGTCTAATTGTTTATAGAATATTTTAATATTTCAAATTTTTTTTTTGAGAAATCTTTTAAATATTTCTTTTATATTATATATATGCGTATCACGAGTCAAATATTTTTAACTCTTATTCTAACATTAAAGACTATGATATTTTGAAAAGGTATGGTTTGTAATATAATGGCTTGTAATCACCTTTCTGCCGCATTGCACACTCTTATCACCTGTGTCCCAGCTGACGTCATAAAATTTATCTTGTTGGAAAAGATAATCCGCATTGGAACAATTCGCTTTATACAATGCTTTTTCGCCTTTGACCAAAAACAGGGAACATTGCAGCGGTGCTCCAAGCATCTTATGACAATTCCAGGCAACCGAGTTCGATCTAAACCGATCATGTCAGAGAACAGTATTTGATAGAAATAAACTGATACGTGCCAATTGAATAATTTCAAGCTAAATGATTTTTATGCAAGAGGAAGGAAAGTCTTTGTTTTTTCTACTTTTTTGATTGATAATAAAAATTGCTTAACATTTCCTTGAAAGTAAAGTTCTTTCCAAAAATTCGAATAAATCATGCAGATAATATTTATTTACAATTTACTCGATTTCGATTGCTACGTAAATTGTGAACACAAATTTGATCACTTTCCTTCTTCGATAATGTTAAATAAGAAAAACAATTACAAACAATTCGATGCCACGTAGTCGGCTTCGATATTTCTCCGAAAACAGCAAAGTACCACCGAGGCAAGCCTGCAAGAAATCTCTGATTCAATTTACGTTGCCTCTTAAATTAATAACTTGCAGTTACCATACAATTTATACGAACATCTACATGTAACCAGATGTTCTCTCTGCGACAAATCTCGGCGATTTCCTGCAATGGATCAATAGCTCCGAGCACCGTAGTACCAGCAGTGGCGTTCACAAAGAACGGTACATGTCCTTTATTCTTTATCTGCATTATAACTTCCTTTAGATTATCCGCTTGCATGCAACCATACTTGTCCGTCTTTACCTGCGAAAAAAATTTACAAAAATATACTCTCGTACAATCAGCATAGTTACAAAATCTACTCTAAATTTGATTCAATTATTTTTGATCAAAAATAAAAATGCTTTTTTTATGTTTAGGAAGCAAAATTATCGCAATACTTTTAATTCGTTAAGAACATTTTTCATTCGATATACATTTCTCATCACTCGATATATTTATAGGACATAAATTGTAAATTTTTAACATTTTTTTTTCAACAATTATTCTCTTAAAAGATAGAATGATTATATATATATATATATATATATATATATATATATATATATATATATAAATGCATATTGTATATTGTTGATGTAATATTTAAATTAAAATAATTGTACCTTATAAACATTATCAGTGCCTATACCTAGCCAATGAGCAGCTTTCAAGATTGAATAATGACTATCTTGACTAGTCAAACACGTTAAGGGTTTGTCGAGCCAAGAAGCGCCCAATTTCTTGATTTCCGGAAACATCTTGTATCTAGCCATTATGAGCCCATACATATTTGCCATACTACCACCTGGACACATTATGCCATCGGCATGCGGCATCGATGGATAGCCCACCAATTCCAACGATTTTTTTATTACTTCATGTTCTATCATAGTAAATACGGGCGCAATTTCATACGTGGCCCTAACAAGAACGTATTCTGTATATAATTGTAATTAATTATTATTTACTTTTTATTTTTTTTAGATATGTGGCAACATTATCTACGGCTCATTAGAGAGCATTCAGATCAAAAACAAATCTATCTGATATTTTATTTTTTAAATGAAATAAAACTTTTTTGAAGATAAGAATTTAACATGTATTATTTGCGATTATGCGATAAGTCATACGTCATCTGAGATGAATTATCATTATTAGATGTTTATGAGACAGTTATTAATATTAATGAAATATTAGTTATTAATATTATTAATTTTGATTATTTATCACATTGTCTCGAAAATAGCAGACAATGCTATATTTTGCAAATGTAGAACATATATTATTCCTAATATAGCATGATATTATTCTTACTGGGTAGTATTCAAGGACTCTGTTAACCAGGAGCCCATTAGCCCATACTCGTCGATGCCACCATAGAGTTGATTATGAAAATTCAGACTGTTTGTTTTTACAGAATATCGTATAACCTGACGTATCAATGTCTCGAGTTGTTCCTCTTTTACTGGCTCTTTATCCAAAGAAAATGATATCTTGGCCTACAAAATAATATTTTATCAGAAAGGAATAATGATTATTCTATTGTCAAAATTACTATTTTATTTTAATCAAATTTTTATAATCCAATATTTATTCCAGATCTTCCGTTAAAGCTGTAAATAATCTAATTTATTATTTGAGATAATCACTCCAGTCGGAATATCGAATCTGTCGAATTTATAAATTCATTAATTCAGAGAAGCATTTTTCATTTTTACACATTATTTTATTAATAAGTCAACTTCGAAGAATGGCACGTTGCCATGCATCCTATATGAAAAATATATTAAAATTCCTTGAGAGATAGAGACAATTCGTCTAGTCAGCGTTGCAGATGATGATAACAATGATATTAATATCACTCGTTGACCTTATATTTATATCGGAAACGTTTATATAATCGTGTATCGTAAATATTTCTCAAACAAGTAATCTGTTATGCATTGTAAAATATTTTTTTTCGCCAGAATGTATCATTATCTATGTGGATTGCATCATATTGTTAACAAATATTTACCTTAGATATATGCACAGAATAGATAGTATCGTAATAAAATCTATGTTTTTAATTAATCGTTAACGATTTTTATTAGGTATTTAATTAACAACAATTAGATAGGAAAAGTTTCGAATAAAGTAACATTTGAATTAATAAGGAAACAAATATAATCTGTCTAGAGAAAATTTTCGTCTAGAAAAAATTCACTATAAAATAAAAATTCATTATAAAATGTGAATAATATCGAATTTTTTTACTTTAAATGCGACTATCAATATTATTGTAAAATAATATTTATTATTTTAAATTAATATCGAATTTAAAGTAATTGATTGTTTTTCTAATTTTTATTAGAACCGTTATGGAAAAAATGTTAAAATTACAAAAATAATTGACAATAAGAATTGAAAATAAGATCCACTATTATGACATCTATATGTTTAAAATTGAAGCAATTTTTTAAATAAACTCGTCTCCTTAATCAATTATTTGCTATATACATATATCCATTGCAATAAATTGAAAATTATATAAATGGCGTCGTATTTTATCTTATTTATATATAATATATATATAATACTATATGATATTAAATCCTATTAATTATTTATTAGATTGATAATTAAAACGAAGAGATAACAAAAATATAAGAAAAAAATATTTATAATGTATAAAATGATAACAGTGATTGGCCTATAACAAAAATACGAATACAAATGTATTAATAGATATAATATTAAGATGTAAAATATAATACATCTCATTGTCAGCATAAGTATAAAAAAGATTAATAAAAAAAAGGTCGGATGCAACGTGGTCGAATAAATATGTATGCGACTGCATGAGACTAACTTTCTAATGTGACAGTTCAAACTTGTAATATTCACCTGTAATTCTTTGGGATGCAAAAATTGTATGACACGTTGATCCTCTGAACGATTGAAAACATGTTCTTCTTTGAGAATTCTCAAGAGATTCTCCAGCATTGTGGTAATATTGTTAGTTCTTGGCTCAGCCATTGCAAAGTGTGCACTGAAATGAAGTGAGTGTGAGACTCACTAACCGACCAATCAACAAATCCATCAGACCATGTTAGATCCCTTCCATTTCGACCATGAGCAGATTCTTCTTTGTCACGTGAAACGATCGTTGAAGATACGTCATATGTTTGCAAATCTCGGCAACCCATCGTTTCATAATTAATCTTCACCAAAAATCCATTTACACATACCAATTACATTCATCTGTTACGTACATGTTAATGTAGTTTGTCTTATCTTTGAATAAAAATGCAATAAAAGTGAGTAAATCTACGCACAATAAGCAATCTAAATGTTTGGAACAGTTAAGTTTACGGACTTATTATATAATTTGATTGCTCTAATAAATTATTAACAAATTATTAATATAATTTTTGTAATTTTTATTTTATAATTCTGACCATATTCTCTTTCATGTTCTAAAGAGTTTTATTATGATCACTATCATCATCACAATAAATATAATAATTTTTTCATTAATTTATCTTATCTGAAAGATACGTATATATATATAAGATATGCTGATTGATTTTGAAGAGTTTTATTTATTCTTAGACAATCCTCGCAGTATTCGGTATATCTTTATATTTTATAAAGAGTTCTAATCATTAGCATGTTAATTAACTTTTTCATTAATGGATTTCATACAATGCAATGAAAAAAGTATATTTTTATATATGTACTCTCTAAAAGTGAATCAGTGTATTATCACTGAAAAACAGTAATAGTCACTGATTACAAACAGTTATAAGTACAGCAGCACTGTAAATCACACGGTAAAAAACATATTGTATTTCTATTAAAATTTTCTCGTGTAAAAATTTTTGTGTTAAATTTTTAATATATTCTTATGTTAATATAACATATTATATTGCGTTATTTTGACATTTCTGCGTTGAGTTAATATTTAGTTTCTAAGAGTTAAAACAATACAATTAATATGTAAATCCATGAATTTTTGATGAAATATGTTATATGTTAAAATGAACAGATAAGTTGTGTTATTTTTCTCTCTATAACAGTTTCCATACGTTAAATCGACATATCTCTTCTGTTATTTATCATAAAAATGTAAGAATAACATTTTCTTTTAATTAAATTTAACATTATAAATATGTTAATTTAATATAAATTTTATTTCCAGATAAAGTTTAAGTGTTACACTTTTGTGTTAATTTTTAAACATATTACTTGTGTTATTTATTTACTTGCTTTCTGTTAAATTAACCTTAAAATTAGAGTGGATAAATTGGGACATGTGAAATATGTTAAATTTAACATAAAATTTTTTACTGTGCAGTGATAATACACTGATTGACTTTTAGAGAGTACATAAGACGATTGGGATACATTGACCGATTTTGAAAACCGGTTTTGTTTAAAATAAACTTTTCATTCAAATGGAAAAAGTAAGAAGGTAATCTTGAAAATAATTTGCAATGACGCTCTTTTAATACAAAGTAGTATTTTATGATTGAATATTTTTATTTGATATTATCATATTTTTATTTGATATTATCATTTTATAATATAATTTAAATTGTATAATTATAAATGTTATAACTTACATTGTATGTACAATTATAATGTACAGTTATAGTACGAATATGTTTCATTTATGTTGCATTTTTATAGAAAAAATATAATCAAGGACAATGTATATATCATTGAAAGAGACTTGTTATAATTGTTAAATGCTTAATTATAATATTACGTAACATTCTAGAACATTCTTCTATGCTTCATAGACGATACAAACTCATATTTAAATTTTTTGTTTTTTATATTTACGAACATTATTTTATATATATTATGTTATCAATATTTTAATTAATATACATGATAATTTTTTTAAAATTCTTTTTATGTATTTATTCAATGTATAAAACTGTAAATATAATGTCAATTGCACAAAAGTTTAGAAATGAATTTTTATATTTGCTTACATTTCATTTTAAGATCATTGAACTACCATAAAATAAAAATAATTATTCGGAAATGTAATATTTAATCAAATTATATTAAAATTATCCCAAAATTATGTTAAAATTGTGTCTTTTCTGACTTCACGCGACGTAATGAATGGCATTAAAACATCGAGAGGTAATCGTGGTACGATACCCTTCATGGAAGCCCATTGACCTTCGCAGAGTTCGTGAAAGGTCAACCGCAGCAACGACTGTCCATCTAAAATTCTAGGACCTCTACATGTTGCACCAGCTCCAAATTCCCAAATACTCCAATTACCTGTCAAGATCAAAGCTTGTTGTATCTGCAACGAATTAGTTAAATTCATGAAACTGGCGAATCTTCTGCGCAGCCAAGAGACGATATAAGAGGCACGACAATCGCAATGCCAAGGATTTCGATTCAAACGTATCTGTTGAATCATCAATATGGCATCCAAACTGCCAGCTGGCAGAAAAGAGATGTCATTTGATTCCAATTGCCTAAAAAACATGATATTATATAATAGAAAATATTGTAGGATGTTATTTAAAAGTAGGATTTTATTTAAAATAGTATATAATGTGATAATGAATCGAAAGCACTTATAATATATCCTACAACATTATATCTCTTATTAATTTAAATATGTTTAATTATAATTAATTATAATTTTTGTTGCAACAAATAACTAAAGTGGATGCTCAAATTTTTATTTTTTATAATAGACTGAAATTAATATTATTTTTTATAATAGACTGAAATGATATTAATATATATAGAAAGAAATTAAACATTGAAGAAAGAATTAAGATTAATACTAATTTAATACTAAGTTGAAAATTGTATGTTTATATAAAAATTATATTGCGACTCACAGTTTCTGCAATCTCGGCGTATCCTCGAAAACTCCTGACTGCACCACTCTTAATCGATTAGATTGCAAGAAAAGAGAGGTGACATTAGATAATCCACGAAAGACACCTCTTATTAAGATTTCTATACGATTACCATAGAGGATAAGACGTTGTAAAGACATAGAATTGTTGAATAATCCAGGTGGCAAGTATTTTATATGATTATGTCCTAGCCGGAGTTCTCGAAGCGCTGTCATGCTGAGAAAGGCTCTTGTATCAATCTATTGCAAAGATTACAATTATTTATTAATATCTAAGGAGAGATAATCTTCTAAAAACATTAATCAATATTAATTTTTATAATATTATAAGATATATTATAAGATATATTTTTCTCTTATAAAAAAAAATATATTTATACACTGTAATTAACATGATTTTAAGAATAAAAAAAACGTAAATATAAAATTTCACAATATTTACACGAGATATTCTATTGCTTGATATTTCCAGAAGTTCTAGTTGTACAAGGGCTGAGAATAATCCTTTAGATATATCTGTTAATCGATTATCTCTCATATCTAACTCTTTGAGAGAAGTTAGATTTCTTAATATACCGTTAGGCAGCTCTTTCACACGATTTTCTTCGAGTGCAAGGCGTCTCAAATTAATCGTGTCTTGGAAAATTGGAATGGGTAATCTGATTAGCCGGTTTTTACTGAGCAATAATTCTTCGAGATTCCCAAGACCACGAAATATACTGGGAGATAACGATGAGATGTGATTGGACGAGAGATCTAATAAAGCCAAAAGTTTATTGCTCAGAAAAAGATCTCCCGGCAAACTACGAAGTTTGTTCGATGACAGATCGCTAGAATAAAAATAGGATATTAAATTATTATTAAACACAATCTCTCTCTAAAAAAATTTCAATATACATATTTACAGAATATATTTAATATTTTAAATGTTTCCAGTCAAATTGTAAGGCAATATCTATTTTTCATTATTTTATAATTGATTTTTGCTAACTGTTATAATTTAATACTTTAGAAATTTTTACAAATTTTACAATTTTTAAAATTTTAAAATTTTACAAATTTTACAATTATAAATTTTCAACACATACATTTTCATAAAAATTATTTTTTCTATTATTGAATGTTTAACGTACAGTATTCGAAGATTTGTTAATCCGATGAACTGATTTCGTGGAATTTCCTTCAAGAGATTGTTACTAAGCCTGACATTTGCGACACCGTGCAGTGGCAAGAGTAAATTCGATGCTAAATGCTCGATAAGGTTGCTGCTCAGATCTCTATAATTCGTTATCTCGTTAGAATTCTCATCTGCCGGTCGTTATTTATATCACTTACAAATGGTACAGCTGCGTCATGTTTTTAAATGTGTCTCTATGTAGAATACTAAGTCGATTACTTCCAAGATCCCTGAAAGGGCATCAAATCACACGATTTCCACTTTTAAAGCATTTATATTGAGATTGCAATGGTCTATAAAAAAAGTCTCAAAAATATTTGTTATAAAGAATCGCAATAAAGAAATAGAAAATTAATTTTAAAATATTTCTTTCATTTAATTAAAAGTTAGATCGTAAGACGCTTACAGTTTTAATACATCGGCGGGAACCAGTTGCGACGAAGGTAGGTCCAAGAGATCGTATCTCCAACAAGACACTGATTTCACTTCCGGTACACATTTGCATGGTCCTTCCGCGCAAATCTCCCAGTCCTCTTCTCTCAAGCTAATCTGCCAAACTTCAAAAGCATTGAGTATGTTTTTATATGTCCACCAAATATGCGAATTATAAGACTCTTACCTGGCTGTTCGACCGTTCGCAATTTCCGTTCGAGGCTCGACAATCGGTTCTCCATTTCTTCGAAAATAGATATCGATTCCGAAGATGAACGTTCTGAATCTGCAATTATATGCATATTTTATTTCAAAATTCAAAGTCATATATTTTAAATCGTATCAACAAGTAGCAGGAAAGATGATGTAAAAAAATTTTATGCATTTGATTTAACCTCTTTTTAAAACAGACATTTATTTTCTCAGTTTTAGAACTTTGAAAAAGCGTAATTTTCGGAGACAAAGTGTAAATATATACAAATAATATTTCACAATCTCTATTAATATTCAGCGGCATAGCATATAATTGTCGACTTTATGAGATTTCATCAAATTACTTCTCGCATTTTTTAATATCGATTTCTGTCCAGTTATCAATAATTATTTGTTTCGCGATTGATTACCTGTTAATGTTCGCGTACTTGCAGTCGTGCAAGTATACGAAACTAGAGAGTACGTTTTCGTCTCGCATAACGAGAATAGAACAATTACGCAATAAAGTCTTGAAGATAAGTCGGTCATGTCACGCATCACCAGGACCAGATGATGACACAGCGTAGGTGGAATAAAGTGACTGAGGATGCGCGGCCGGCTGTCATTCTTCATCGCTCGCGGTTGCATCCTCATTATCTTGGGCATTGATTTAAAGGTAAATTCGTTATAACGAAGATTGACGGACAATAGCCTCACCCGTACAAATTACGCTCTTTCATGCATATACGCCGTTCATATATGCTTAACAACACAATGCTTCTGAGATTTATAAAATTTATAAGAAATAATTTTTATCGAATCTTTTTAAAAAACAATTAAATTTAATGTAAAATCACTCTACATAGCTATAATAATGTATATAATTTTAACATTATATAGAGTAAAGTACATGCAACTAATTAATTAATTTTCTAGTGTTGTGATATTTATTTCATTTTAATATAATTAATTAAATTAACAGAAATAAAAAGGAAGGTGAAACAAGACATAAATAAAATATAAAAGATATATTAATTCAACTTTGGCCATTTCTTCACCTGTAATTTAAATTAATATATCTCTTTATCTTAGCCCTCTAGAAGATAAATTATAAAATTATTATATTTGTTTGTCAATCGATAATGACAATTTGTCTAGAGTGTGCCGACATCATTTAGCATAATGCAGTTGTGGAAAAACAATAGAAATATATTATATAATATTGTATGTATGTATTATATAATATAAAATATATATATTGAAGAAAGAAAAATAAGCTAATTATATCATATTTACATAATCACATTTCCTTTTTTTTATAGTACATATTAACATATTATTATAACTCAAAACTAATAGCAAAAAATCCTCTCATTTATCTTTAATATCTTAAAGGAAATTCTTTAATTATTATTTTTTATTATTTAATTATTATTTATAAAGGAGAAAATCGAAGGCAAATTACTTTTAAAAAAATATTTTTCACAAAGTATAATGTAAAATAAAGATGGTAAAATATCAAAAGTGTCTTGGAATAGAATATACATACAATATGTAATTGATTACGTTTACATAACTGCAAATTGTAAAAAAAAAAACAGAAAATAAAATAAAGCTGTTACAAATTAAATAATCTTTTTGCTCTTGAGGATTAAGAATACATTTAATACATTTAACTTTGTGTTTATGTTAGAACAGATTATAGTCACAATTAGAAAATCAATTCAAATGTGTACGCATATACATATACTCAAAATATAATATCCAGTATATTGATTTACATAAATTAGAAAGTACATATCAGAATCAACATTAGTATCTCAACGCAGAAAAGGAAATGATTACGAGAAACAGAATCAATAGTTGCTCATTATTAATATTTATTAGATAGATACACATTTATTAGATAGATACTTTGACTTTTACATTGCATAATCATATATAGCATGTAATTTGGCGACCAATTTTATTGTCAGAGAGACTTTCTCACGTAATTATATCTGGCGTTTTCTTCTCTCAGTAATTTCGTCTAGTCTATAATCATGAAAAAAGTCGCATTGGATTATAATATGATGTTGCTCAAACTAAATAAATTTGCGATAATAAAATCTAACGATTGATTTGACGATCTACTTTGCAATTTCTCGATGATCTCTTAAAATCGAGCGATTGTTTAAGACAATTTTACTCCGCCGGATCCAGGACACTCTCCTTTACTCTTGACAGCTAATTCTGTGATATAAAGATAATTATTATGTATGTATGATATTTTAATTTTTATTATTTATTTAAAAAATTAATAAAATATCATCTTCTTAGTATATTCTTACTCATTCCCATTTCGCAGTTGTGAACATCCAAAGCGCATTGTGTGCCGAAAGTCCTTGGTTTGAAGTTGGAATCAGCAGGATCGTGAACGCAAATAGGATCATAATCGTTCCCGCATTCTCGAGCGCAATCTTTCTTATTCTTCTTCGCCTCCTTGGCAGCCTTGATAGCATCCTTTACGTCCTTCGACGCGGTCGCTGCTTCTTTTATATCCTTAGGTTCCTTTATTTCCTTGATTTGGTCACTGATTGGTTTTGCGTCATCAGGAAGAGCATATGTGTTCTCGCAGAACGTGAACATGCTAAGGAACGCAAATCCTAAAAAAAATTTAAAAAGAGGGGATATAAAATTTAAATTAATTTACAAAAATATGTTGATCAAATATTTTTATAAATTAATTTCTTTTTAAAGTAGTAGAATATTTTTTTACAGTCGCAATTTATACGAAATTATTCTAAAATTTCTCTCAATAAAGCTGTTGATAATATCCTTTAATGATAACAAGAGATTACTCTTTTCATTATTATGTTACTTGAATGATCGATGTCGAAAATTTCGAAAATTTTTCTCATTAACAAGTTGTGGAGAACAGTATTACGTAAATCAGTTGATAGTGACTTAGCATCTCGTTGGGATGCTGCGTGGCCTTAATACACATCTTTATTGGATGATTATGTCTTTATTGAAATCAAGGTTTATTTTACATCGAGATCAACCCGTTCCTTGCGAGATGATTGCGACGTTTCTTTACTCAAGGATACTTACGCCCACGCATATTTAAAAAATCTTCATTAATCTTTTGCGCTCAAAAATATCTTTGAAAATCGTAAATAAGTTTAACATGAATAATAATTTTAATAAACAATTAACTAAAAAAAATATAAAATTGCACTCTTTATTATTTTTTTTTCGAATGATTTTAATGATGTAACATTGCGGTTGAGATCGAGGAGAACTGGATTTTAAATTAATGCAAGACGAAAGATATAGTTCAAGGCAATAACAAGACTTTATTATAAATTTTAATTTCTTCTTTTTAAACATATATATATTTGAGATTTATAATTGTTTACAAACTCTAACAAAAATCGTGGAAAAATGACAAATTTATATAAAAGTAAAATCAATTCATGAAAGAATTATAGATATAAAATAATATTTGTATAATACTATTTTATATCTATAATTCTCTCATTAATTGATTTTATTTATTTAAATCTTTTAACATTTTTAATATATACACAAAAATTACATACAAATAAATGATTAAAATAAGTTATTTAATGAGATTTTTAAATATGTATCTAAACGATTTTAATAAGTTTAAACAATTTTAACATTTAAATTTGATTAATGTAACCATAATATATTTAATTAATTGCGGAAATTATCGTAATAATTTTTACTACAAAATCTTAAATAAAGCTGGTGCAGTTTTCGTACCAACTATGATTGCTACCTCCATCGTTCCGGTTGATCAGTGATCTAGCAGTTGAAATTTCTCGGTGGCGATTTCTTAACACGGCGAATGGCAATCAAGAGAAGACTGGCATATCATGTCACCATGGTCTACATTTATAACCAAGTTAAATTCACATCCCCACCTGAGAGGAATTGAGAGTAGGATGCATTATGCCTGAATCATGATTGTCGAGTTAATCATTTCATATGTGTATAGTACCTGACTTTTAAATGTAATATACTTGTTTCAATACAATAATGAAAATACAAATTGTAATTAATCAATTGAACGTTTAGACAAAAAAATGTTGCAAATATAAATGTATATTCTAAATTTAAATTAAATTATATAAATTTATATACATAATTTAACCGAATATTGCTTTTACACAAATTAATATCTAACTTTTATTCTATTTTCATTAAAAAAATATATAAAAGCAGTTTGCTTTCTGATGCGGATAAATAAGAAATATATTAAACATTTATCATTATGTTAATACATTTTTCCATCTATTTAATGATCAAAAAATGGAGAGCAAAAATAATTTGTTCAAGAAATTGTTTATAAAATTTTATTTTTCAGCATACTTGTGCATTTTTATTTACAAGTAGTACGTAATGGCACCGAATAATTCATTGAAAGAAAAAATCATTTCTGTAATCTCTTCCAAACACGCGCGTGTCGGATGATGTCGATTACAAAATTAATTCAATGATGTTCCACATTTGTAGCATTTTGTAAAAGATTTTTTCATGGTTAAAAATATGATTTTTAAACTATTTTAACCATGTAAAATAAAAAATTAGAAGCTAAATTAAGTATTCAAGAGAGATATCGAGAAAATATCTTTTTTAAATAAAATGTAAATAAATAAATATGTATAAATAATTAGAAAGATGATGCGATGATATTCGATGATAATGTTAACTTCTCAGTGATCTTTCCGTTCTGTTAATTGCCTCTCTTCCTCCACGTAGCTGTTGAATAAATTCAAATAGTCGTACCAAGATTCGTGGAAAGTTTCGTTGATGCGACATGTAAATGTCGTACATTTCTCTGTCGAATTTAAACGACTACTATTTTGCGTCTCATATTTCTCGACAGAATTTCTTACTATGCCTTCGAGACTATTTAGTGTTTCCAAACTTATGTAAGCTAAAAAATATAACATGTCATTAGGTAAGGACAGTAAAAAATTAAAGAGATATAAATCTGTGAACCAATGTTTTAAATTACAAATTAATTCATTCTAATCCAATTAGTCACTGACATTTTTATAATTAATTTTTATATTTAAAATCATAAATTCAGCGACGCTCTGTAAATCTAACAACTTACGCGATGATAAATTACGTTCTTCATTGTTTTCATCTTTATTAGAGACTTTCTTCTTGATTATCTCGAGCTTCGGTATGAAGAGTAACAAGCAAATTATCGCGATAAATTTCACAATCATCTTGAAGATCACTAACTTTAATATGATTTTTGCAATGGTGAATGCATTTAATTTGAGGGCAAATGGTAATCCCAGATCGAAGCTCGGTAGGAGGGAAATGTGAGATACATCCGGCAGTGCGTAAGGCGCACCGTAAATCGGAGTTGGAATGGAAGTATGTACAGAAGGACCATATCCTAAAATAAATCAGGAAATAATTAGTCAACTAATCACAAGTCATTAAGAAGAGCTAAAAAAATGTAATAAATAAATGTATAAATTGAAAAAAGAAATTTTTGCTAAAAAATCGATCTTGCATTAGTCGAATAATACATCTGCAAAACTTACATCGATTATTGTATAAACATATATAACATTTGCAGATTATTATAAATTATTAATTATGAATAAAAAAATAATTATAAATTATTAATTATTAATAAAAAATAGAGAGAAGACAAAGAAAAAAATAATCAAACTTTTTCTAAAGATATATTTATAAATTTGATTAAATTGTCTTATTTAATTAAATATAATGTAAATTCACTTAGCAAGAAATGCTTCGACAAATGCTTTCGACAATACCTTTGATCTCACCTTGCTGAGATGGTGGATAAGAATTCGCGGGAGGTCCATACGAAGGAGTCTGTGGATAAAACGAGGGACCATCTTGCGGCGGCCCGTATGAATTCTGCGGAGGACCGTAAGAATTCTGCGGAGCGTTGTAATGATCGCTGTAACTCATTGATGGTTTGAAAGATTGGGGATAAGAGTCGCTAGGGCCCCCGTATGTGATTCGCGGGTTCTTAGATGCGTACGACGATTCGGGCGAACCGTATTCCGTATCCTGCCTGTAAACGGGCCCCTGCACATATTCTCTTCTATTCGTCTTCGTCTTTAAGTCGGTCTGCACGATCCCTTCCCGCGGATCATCGCTGTTACGCGAGTGTCTCAGTGCTTCGAGATAGCTGTCTCTTTTCCAGGCAGTCTTTGGGCCTTTACTGGCTTGATAACGATTGTCAATGATATAAGACCCTCCAGAAGTCTCAGTCTTCGACATTGAGGGTTTCCGAAGAACGTTATTGGCACGTTGTTCTCCGAAAGGTATACGATCGACAATCGTGGAACCTACAAAGGAATCAATCTTTGTTGACGCAACGTCATTGGAGTTGCTAGAATTAGCGATAATCGACGCTCTAGTCGACAAAGGTGGGCCAAGAACAAGATCCTTTCCCAAAATTATCGATGCCTCGGACTCTCTAGCTTCTATCTTCAAGGTTGATGCATCCGGTGTACTCTGGTGATTCAGAGGCACAGCTTCGTGAGATGAAACCACAACGAGAGAGAGCAGAAAGATTCCTAGAATCCAGCCGAGTCGATGCTTTCGTGTTTGATAACGAGATATCATTTTGATTGTAAGTTATCGTTGACAAAGAATGAAGATCTGCAAAAAAAAAGAAAATATATTATAAGCAATTAAACTCCCAAACAGGCTTTTATTAGTACTTTATAATTAATGCTGTGTGATAGAAAGAAAGCATCAGGTAATTATTCACTCATATATTTTATAGAATTAACGACAAATATAAATAATTAACATGAATAACTTTATTAAAAAATTTATAAGCATATCTTTTTTATAAATCTATCTTTAGGCAACGCGACTAATTATAGATTTCTATATTCTAGAAAATGATCTTTTATGAAATCGATGTTGTTTTAATTAGGAAAAAAGAATGGGCAAGTAGTACAAACAAGCACGACACGAGATGCCTTCTAGATGAGCAAAATATCCCTCTTGAATACGAAATGCAAGCGATTGCGACGCATACTAAGTAAGTAGCGGTCTTCGCCCCTTTTCAGCGGTCATTCCAACAATGACCCTAATTCACAGATACAGAACGATAAAACAGCTGCAGTTTGCAGCTCTACAATGAATATTCTTGTATTATACTTGTATATGTCTGTAGTCTGATATTATTACTATTGCATATCTCTCACTAATAATTAAATCAGTTATCATTTAATCATTATATTTTAATTTACATAAAATTGCTAAATAAATAACATTTTTAAACAATTATCATTATATTTTAATTTACATAAAATTGCTAAATAAATAACATTTAAACAATTATGCAAAGGTAATAATAATAAAATTGTTTTAGTGAAATAAACATTTAACAAGGCTAGAATTATTAATCTATAATAAATAATTTAATTCTCAAATATATGTAACTAATAAAAAATTTTATTAATTTGTATACAATTGCATTAATAATAATTAGAAGAATTCTAAAAGGCTAGTAATATTATTTTATTATATGTGCAAAGTTTATTTAGTATTTTTATTTATTATTTTTATATTAATTACAATAATTAATTTATTTCTTTTTTATTTCTAATAAGTAATATCTGAGCTAAGGGTTAAAAGTAACTAAGAAAAATGTTTACAAATAATGCAATCTTTTAACGAATATACATACAATAACTAATTCCACTTAAAGAAAGATTTCCACTTTTGAAAATAATGGCGAATTTTAGCTGTTTATTTGTCTCTCATCCGGTTTTATAAATCTCTTTCTTATAAATTTACTCATTCGTAAATCTTATTCACCCCCGCACTAAACACAAAAATCTATTCGCTACAAAATGTCCTGACCGAGTGACAAGTTCACGAAGCTCTCTTCATCCTCTTGGCAGACACTCACGTCGATCAACGTTTGTGAATAAAAAATCATCGCCTTCGCTTCCTCTATATATGCCGTTCGCATTCGGAAGGGGCATGACATTCACGTTATTAGGTTACTATTCCACCGTGCCCCTTTGACACCTCCATTTTAACCGTTGATCGCTGTCGTCTGCCGAAATTTTTTGCTTTTTGGATCAGAAAAAAATGTTCTGGTACCGTATATTGCAAATAAATTCTAAATAATAAATAATTTTTCTCTTATTATTATATTAAATTATTAATAAAAACATTTTTATATATTTCTTTTTAAAATAATAGATTTCTCATATTACTATTAATAACTAAATAAATAGAAAAGCATCTCTGATTAATTTTTTATGGTAATTGTATTAGAAACAAGAAAATTAAATTATGTTTTAACATTTTTATTTATCAAAAGCGTATTTTTGTTTACAAATTAATTAATATTACAATATTAATTTACAATATTAATACAATATTAATTTTATAAAATTTTATAAAATTATTAAAACAATGCGAAAATGCTAATAGGAAGTTTAAAAACATAAGATTTATTATTATATGTTAGATGATACAGTCTACAATGGTGACACTATTTTTCAAGCCTTCTTTTAATACTTTGATCCGGTAACATACTTTTAAATAGCATTAGTGGCATTCCTTTGATGATTCTATTATCTTCCGAGGAAGTATGCAAATGTTTTGCCCGATGAAAGTCTTGACAATCATGTATATTCATCCGCACTTCTTCGGCAACCAAAACACGTGCGAAAATGAGCAAACATTCTAGTATATTCTAGTATATTATAGCATTCTCTTAAAATAAACCCAATCAGTTTTTTTTAGAGTTAAACCAAGAAAAATCAATCTTTCATATATAAGTTTACAAGGAACATTTTTTAGATAAATATTTATCAGAAAAATTAGGAAAAAAAATTTATTTATATTTATAATTTTCATTAATTTCTTTCTCCCAACAAACGATTTACATAATTTAATAAATTATAAACAACTAATTTCTATAAAAATATGTCAAATAAAATTGGCTCTTTATGAATGCATTATAAAGATTGTTACATATAGTCTCTACGGCCATTCGGATCGATACACTAGCTTATTTGGGTCTCTGAGCAACCAAACACTGGTTACATGTATGCAAGATTTACTTACCGTACTTATCGTACTTACCGTACAAAAGTGAAATTATAACTGAGATAGTGCAAACAACGAGAATTTCCTAAATACATTAACAAATTAAAGAAAATGAATCTTTCGATAACCGAAACAAAGTGCGTTTCGTCCTTATAAATGTGTGTAGTACGGAAATTAACTGTAACTTTTTTATAATTCACAACTATGATTACAGGTGGGTGAAGTTTGGGAAATCTCATGACTTTGTTTTCGTTGGAAAGGAAACCATTGCAACGGCTTCCGGCATTTATGTGAATTTTTTGGATCTGAATACGAGAGAAAGGCGAATCGAGCGTTTCGACAACAAGGAAAGGGGTGATGGCGCATCATGTTTGGCTGGACATCCGGTAATACAATTATTTATAATATGTTTATTCATTCAAATTGAATGTCTGAAAATGTAGCAGATGTATCACATTTTTGCTATCTATTTTTTAATGACATTATTTAAAATTTTGCAGACAGTTTCCATGTTTTCCGTAGTCGAAAGAAAATCTAATCCCAAGATATCGATATTTATGTACCCCACGCTACAAAGAATTTCCAGATGCGTACTACCCGACAAAAACAACTCTTATTTATCCTGTTCTTTCGCTGGTACAGAATATCTCATAAGCTTGACTAGCTTTCCTGATTTCCGACTGATTGTGTGGCTTTGGAAGACTGGCAAGCACGTCGCTGTGCTTAACACGAAGATTAACGATCTCGTTCAAGAAATTTGGTATTAAAATAAATATGACATAAATTTTAGACCATTTTTATTTTTCCAAAAATGTGAAATTGATCATTTTATTAGCTGTTCGCCAAATCCTCCGTATTTGATATCGCAGCTCGGAATCGTCGACGGCAAACTCTCGATTTGTCAAGTACGAACATGCTCGAAAATCGTGAGTATACATCATGTGGACGTGCCAGTTCCGGAACACAGAATTATGTCTTCATCCTGGACGCCGGAAGGAAACCTATTTGTCTCGGACGAGTTCGGCAACGTATGGCTCATGGTGATAGATGCTAACAAATTGTATTCGGTAATAAAATCGAAAACGCTCGAACCACCGAAAAACAGATCAATCGTCATTACTCATAGAACTGGCGTAATAGTTGTGAATACCGATAGTGAAATTACAGTGCGTATATTGATTCGATAAACTCTCATTTGATAGAATTAATAATAATGCTCTTTTTTCTCTCTTAAAATAAATAAAACATATTTAGAAAAATTTCTTTTATACTGAGATATATTTATAATTTGTATCTTTTTTATAAAAATATAACTATTATAATATTTATAATTATTATATTTTATAATCATGTTATATTATTATATTTATATTTTAGTTTTACAAAAAATTATTGGCAGATTGGAACGTGTCATGGCAATTTGTATGGTCGATTTCGACTTTCCATTCAATTCAAATAGGAAGACAATATTATTTCAAAGATGGGATTTTGTTTCACTCCAAAAGCGGAGAGATTTTTGAGATCAGTACGCAGTACGACAACGTTCCTCACATAGAAATTATTTATACAGATGAGATAGAATATAAAGCACTGTTTTCTATATCTCAACGCGCAGATCACGTTGCGGCGATAGATTGGTTAGATCGTCTTTGCATTTTTGAGATATTGACCGGCAAACTGACAGCGAGATTACCTCTGAAACATCATGGTGAAGGTAAAATCATATATATATATATATATATATATATATATATATACATATATAGTGTTTTTTATATAAGAGAAATCTGAAAGAACATGTGTCATCCATTTTTTAGGATAATATACGTATAATTTATTTGATTTATTGTTTCAATTATATTAATCGTTCAATTTACTTAATGTATAGAATAATTTACTGATAAAATAATTTTCTCATATCTTTGCGCGACAATTAACTGGTATATTATTAATTAGAATTATATATTAATTCCAGTTATTCGTGCAGATTCACATCCTACATTACCAATACTTGCGGCATGTAGTGTTGCTGGCAATTGCATTTTTATCGATATTTCATCATTACCTAAAATCTTTAATTGCTTTCATCTTCACGGAGATATCTTGGACAGAATAAAATTCTCGCAATATGGGGAACTTTTAGGAATCGGCAATTCCCAAACTGGTAAAATATTTATCATTGGCAAACGATTTGAACAACAGCCTGTGGATGTTCTTGGACTTATTGAAATTAATGGATATGTAAGATAATTAATATAATATAAATCATAGAGAGAAGCTAACAATTATATGATAAATCATAAAAAATATAGTTGCACAAATCTATAAATATTTATTGAAAAAATATAAGCGAGAGGCATTATAAGTTTAAATATTTTTTTTAGATTGCTGACTTTCTGATATACAAGAGGAATAATAATCATTTCGAAATCTTAGTTCTCGCAACAACCAATCCTTCCATGGCTTCGATTGGCGGTAACAAAGTGGTCGTGTACACTTGCGAGATCTCGAATAATTTCTACACTCGTACCGTATGTGTGATAGATTTATCAAGACCTTTCAAAATGCTGTATCACGGGATGAATAAGCCTCTGAATATATTGGGTATACCCTCTTTATCTAAACAGTTACATCAAATGGAGATACAGGTACAAGTTATTATCATTTTTTATTACTAATAAAAAAATGATCAACTATTTTTAATTGAATTTAAATTATCTCAAAATATTCAAATTATTATATATTACATAACAAGTTTTCAAGAGAACCTAGACTCTATAATCTTTATTTTAAAATCCTTTTTACATTTTCTATTCAAATCTTGAAAAAGAGAATTTATCAAATTTTCACAGAATAATTTTCAAGATGTCATCCTTATGGAAGCACTTTTCTCGATCCATCAATTGAGAAATATCGGAATGTACGTGACTGATTCTCGAGTCGTAACATATGGATACGATGGTTTAATCATAATCAGAAATAACATGGAACTTCATAAAGTGATTGCGATTTTTATGCCACACCATCGCAGCAAAGGGGGTATAAAGTGTGCAATTTCTTCGCGTTTTGGGGAAACAGTTGTTTCCCTCGGTAGAAACGGAGATCTCGTTGCTAGTCGCGTTCGGTATTTTTCTTTTATTTGTTTCTTACACAGTCGTATATTGAAATTACTCAAAAAAATAATACATATGATTCATTTTTATGCGAGCAGGTTATCGGAAACAAAAATGAACTTGGCAGAAAGCAGAGATGTGAGCGTACATTTATCGATTGAAGATTTTGCTTCCAGTCCAAACGAATTGTACGGTTTAGCAGGAGAAACCTGGCTGGACAATACAATCGCCGCTAAATTGAAAGCTGAACGCGATGAAGCTCTATCTCTACGAGCTTCCATCATAGTCGATTTGGAGAAAATAAAGAGTCAGGTATGTATGTCTTTTTAATGCTTTAGAATTAAAATATTTATAGTTATAATTTAAAAAATTTTTTAACAGATACGCGAGCTTCTCGATAAAAATGAAAGCAAACCAACAGATGCTCGATTACCGATCTCAGTTTTTGATTTGGATCACGAATCTCGGCAGCGAAAAATAGAAGAGGCGCGACTTGAACGAGACGAAGTGCGTCGAAAACTTGAAGAAGAATGCGCTCAACGAGATCAGATAACATCGTATATCCGCAAAATATTCTGGGATTCGCTGCAAGTAAAACCGTGTTCTCTTAAATCTATCAGTGGTGATGCAATAGTTCATAATTATCCTCTTGTTGCATCGACTCGGAAAATGAATGACTTTAAAGTATGGGATAGACTCTCTTCGGATGCCGATGAGTTTTTGTATAGGTAATTTCTTCTGTATTTTTTTTAAATATAAATAATTTTAATAAAATATTAGATATTTTAAAATTAATCATCTGTTTTCTTAATATTCTTTGAGATTTAATGATAATACAAGAATATAATACATGCATATGTATTATGCGGAATTTCTAATATGTAGACTAAAAAATAATATTTTTAGTTATGAGGTGTATAATGAACCAGTAGATGAAGAAGACGATTCAAGACGAGGATCCGCAGTATTTGATTCCGATCAAGAATCCTCGACGAGTAGCCATGACGAAATTAAAATACACGAGATGGCTAAAACGTGGTATACATTAACGGATGAAGATGAAAGATTATGTACATCGGGCATCACAACGCATAAATGGATTGATGATGAAAGCATAGCTTCAACGCATCAGCTATTACTCCCTTGCGATAATAATCTTAACACTATTCTTAAAAAAGATACTATCATCGAAAATCGAGAGCGCAAACTAAAGGTGATGTCTACTACAAATCTATTGAAATTTATTTATTATATTAATTTATTTATTATATCAAAAACACAATAATGTTCAATCACATTTCTAATCAAAATTTGATATTGAAATTATTTTTAAAATTTTTCATTAACACATTAGAACCATTTCAAAATATTTATAAATTAAAACTTCCTCTCCTAAATAGATATATTTTAATAATCTTTTCGAGGAAATGAGACGCGCGAAAGAACATAAATTGAAATATACAAAGGAACGCATAGATAGACTTCGATATTGCGTTTCCGAATTAAAAACACTGTTTGGAATAGACTCCGTTCTGGAACCGATTGATACACCGATCTGGGATGTCGAAGAGATACCTGATTACATAGTCACTGTAAAAGATAACGAAATATTTGAGAAACAATCATGGCGAAAAGTGTCTGGAATCGCATTTAATGAGAGTCAAAAAGACAAAGAAAAAAACGGAAGAAGCGATGATTTTTATGAAAGAACTCTTGAAAGGATGATGGACGGTGTATTGGAATCTAAGTGAGTCGATCCTTGACAAGTAATTACGTAAAAAAATGATATGAGTAAGAATTAAATTTTTATTAAGAAAAAAATCAATACACGAATATTTCGCAAAATTTAATACTTTATTTCAAGATGGGAAGACGAAGTTAAAAAGGAAATACCTGTGCCTGAATGTTTAACTGCAAAAGATCCTTCGAAATATACCGATGAAGATATCGCAGTTATCGAATCGTACAAATCCAAAGTGGAAGCACTGAAAGAAGAACGAGAAAAATATAAAGCGACATTGCAGGCCGAAATCATTGAAACAAGAGGTCAGTCAGAAGCATTAAAAATATGGAACAACAAATATTGAAAACAATTGTGTTCATAAAAATAATTAAAATAGAATAATTTTTTAAAATAATCCTCAAACATTTTTTACTAATAAATTTTTTTTATCAAAATCATAAGATATATGCATTTCAGAAGCCTTACAAAGAGATATCACGGAATTCAACGATCAGTTAAAGGATCTTGAGTTGAAGAAGATGCAAATTGAATGCGCAATCCTGCAGGAAAGATTGATGAGGGTACGTGCGATCCAAAGACACCGTTCCGAGGTCGATGGCAGGCAAAAAATCATCCGTTTTACTGACGATGAACTGATACCGGCGACGCAAGAAGCACGCAAACTTGCTGAGGAATGCAATTCGCTCGAGGTAGTCGTGGCAGAGTTAAAGTTTCGCTACGACAATCTCAACAAGGCAGAGAAACGATTGGAGGCCAAGTTTCGTAGCGAATTCGCAGACTTGAAACAACCAATAGTGGAACACTTACTCAGGCATTACAAGAAGCGACCCAGGGCAAGTCGTCTCATCACCACGTCCGTCACGTATCTGACGGAGGTGGCAAGATGTGTTATGGCCAGCGAGAAGTCGGACATTTTACCGCGCGAATGCCTGGACTTCCTTAGAGGCATGGATGCGTTGGATACGATGCCCAGAAACCTACCATCACAGATTAACATCAATCACTGGAAAACAATGTGCAAGTTGAGAAGAGCAAAGATCGAGATGGAGACGAAGGTAAGGATAAAAAAATGCAAAAAGTAATTTATTTATATTAAAATATCATAATCTTATATAATAATTATGTTATTTTTGACTTAAAAAATTATTACATATGAAAAGTAAAGAATATCAATAATATCTAAAAATAAAATAGAGATGCGTTTTTTCCTTTTATACTGACCATTTTGAGCTGATACTATTAAAAAAAATATAAAAAAATTATAATGTTGTTAAAAGCTGAATATGGGTATTAAAGGTAAGATGCTGCGCGGTGGAGATGGCCGAGGCGGAACAAACGCTGTCATTTTATCAGAAAACGATGCAATCAGCTGAGAATATCGTTGCGTGCAAGAAAGTTTCCCTGGAGAACATAGAAAAATCCTTGACGCAACTTGCTGAGGAACTGGAGATCCAACTCGTCCTGAAAATGGGTCAGATTGAAGTGCCATTGCAAGGTTGTCCATCTGATTACGAGAACACTGTTCTCGTGTTGCGTGAAGAGCTCTTGCGTGTCAATGATTGTATCATCGAAACCGGAAAATGCAAGTTGGCGGCAATGTATAAATCCATGCACTTGCGAAAAGTCGTGTCCCAAGAGGAATGGCAACACGCACGTGCGAAGATGGTACTGGACGATTTGCAGCAGGAATTGAAAGATGTTCAAAAGTTCAAAGTTGTATTTAATCTCTCATACGCACACATTCAATCATTTAATATTAAGAAGAAAGTACATAATATACTTGCATGTTTCAGATCACGAGAAATGTACTTGAATTCTTGAACCGCGATCCCTGCAGTGTAAATCTAGAAAAAGATTATGAAAAGATACAAACTAATTTGAGAATATTTCGAAACGTAAGTATCTATATATAATTACGTCGTTGTACAACAGATGATTTAATGAATTTAAAATATTTCAGAAATTTCGCGAGTTGTTGTCACTGGAACAGGCAAGTCTGAAGGAAACGAAGCGGCTGATGGCTAAATGGAAGAAAAAGAATGACAAGATATCGAAGGAGATCAAATCTAAATCATCAGACGTTGAAGAGTGTCGCAGGTTGCTTAACGATCCATGTCGCAAGAAGGACGAAGAGTCTCGTAAGATGAGACTTGCCGCGATCGCAAGACGTACCAAACTTATCATAGAAGCGGAAAACAATTACGAGCAGTTGTTAATCTTACATGCTCGGCTAGAAGTCTTAAAATTGCGAACGTATCCGACCTTGCAAATAAAAACCGCGTAATAAAACCGCACAAGATTTATAGCTGAGGAAAAAAGATTATGAGGAATATCGATTGCAAGAAAATAATTAAAAATATCTCGGAATTAATTGATAAAGCTGTCTGTTTTTCTACTAATAATATGTATTTATATATGTATTTATATATGTATTCATATGTCGTCAAATGTAAGAAAATGTGAGAAAGAGAGATATATCTGATACATATCAGATGCATTTTTAATTAATCATCTTGCTGAATTACATATGTTTTTTTACAATTACATGTTCGATTGTAATATGATATAACTTCGATTACGTTTGTCTATCCAATGTTACCAATACTTATTATTCCGACCTCGATCTTGCACGTGCAATGAAGGAAAATTCCTGATTCTAAGAAGGAAATGAGGAAAATAATATTACTGTTGATTATCATTATCTCATTCTAAAGCCTAAACATTTCTTGATAACTTGAAAATAAAAAGAGCTAAGCGATACTGCATTTAAAAATATGATTCCTTCTTAAAAATCGTAAAGAAATATTTTAATTGTTCTAGAATTAATTTAAAAAATATGTTAAAATATGTTAATAATATTATTTGTCTCGTGTATACATGTATACTTCAGATTTTTATAAAATACTTTGACTTTTCAGAATAATTCAACAACTCTGATAACATACGTTAACATGATTATTAAAACATGTTATAATTAATAGTTTTTTACGAGATATTATATTTAGTATTTACAATATCTACCACGAAATAAATTATGACAGATATCATTATCGTTTAGCAAAACTAAATGATAACACTATTACAGCACTGGAATTTCCATTTATTGGTAAAATTCATCATGAATTATCTGCAATAATCTATTTTTCCTTCAATAGTTTATCAAAGAATATCTTGATACTTTAGCACATAGTATCAGATATTTATAAGTAATAAATTATAATATTATATGGGGAAATCCTTAAAGATGCATCTTTATATTTCAGGGTCAATACTCATTTTTTGCGAGCTAGAATAATTTTTTATTCTATTAATTATAATTCATCAACAAGAATTTACTAATTAATCAGCACTTATCCTATTGATAGCTTTTAACATCGGTAACGTGTACGATAGTTAAATTATTTTCTAGTTGCAAAAATAATATTAATCTGCGGAGCATTAGTAATTACATACGAAAGAGTTATATATAAATATAATTAAAATTATAGAGAAAAAAGTAGATTTAAAGTACTATACCAACAATTTTTAACAAACTATAATCAGCTAATAGTAAAATTAATAAGAAATCAGAATTGCCAGAATTTAAAAACTTTTTTAAACGATTTGAATTTGACACGTATACAAAAAATTTAAAATTCTTGATTAAAATAATTTCATGTAAAAGAATCTTCTTTTTGAGTATTCACTATTACTCCAAACGACCTATTATTAACGTAATGCGATATTTGGTTTGACAGATAACAAATAAATTCATAATATGCTGATAAAATTATTTTTTAAAAGATTATTTTATTGAAATACAAAACAACTATATCGCGTTTTTTGTTGAATATTTCTGATTATTTATATCGAGCTCATAGGTTACATATTTATCAGACGCTGTTTTGTAATGACGAACTTGAGTATATTCGGGCTATTTGTTCAGCTTGCAATCGATGATAGAGGAAAAGAGAGAGCTGTGGAATCATCGTGTGACCCCAACAGGGGAAATCACCGTCGGTACTTTTCTCGTATGTCAACAAAGGTCTACGCGATTCCAACCGCGTGATGTACATACTCGTACATATATTAACACGTTCAATGAGACGTGCGTATCGCATGCGTATGCGTGTGTCGCATCGCAAGAGCAACCGGAACGAAGGACGCGAAAACGTCGAGGACACGAGTCTGTTAAACTTGAAAACACGTTGAAGCAGGCGAGCTAGAACTGGATTGATGGAAAAAAATGTCCTCAAGGATTTTTATCTGTGATATTACTAGCGAGGGCGAGCGAAAATCTTATGCTGGAAAATTACCTGGAGAATGTTAATGACCGTTATTGATCCGAGTTTAACGATAGATTTAATAACATTTAGCTTTTATATAACTATTTTATAGATAACATTTCACATTTCATAGAAAATTGTTATTATTTCTTCTCTTCCATCAATTAATTAAACGTTATGACATCAGTCTTATATCATTGAGATATTTAAAGATTCTCTTAATAACTAAATTTTAAGTTAAAAAAATTTTCTATTAAATTTAGTATTATCTAATCATATTCTTAATTCTTAATAAAATGCTTAATAAATGCTTTCATAATTGTTTTTAGCTCAGTTATTTATCTTAAAAATCTATCAAATTTTCATATTTACATGTTAAGCAAAAATTATTTCAATTATTTTTGACTTGCATAGTATTTGTTGTTAAACGCCTTATATATCGATCAAGCTAAAACAGCTTACATTTGCATTTTATAATCAATATTTTTAAATATTGATAAAAGATTAAAAAAGAAAAATTTGTCTTTTTCTTAATGCGCGACAAAGGAAAGTACCATTGCTAGAGGAGAGGTGAAGAATGAATAATGACGATGATGTCATTACGTGAAATGAATTGAGAAAAAAAGAGAAATAGATAGAGAAAGAGAACGATGGCAGAAATCGTTAAGCACGAGAGAAAAAGAGACGAAGAAGAAAGAGCGACACTCCCCCTCTCTAGACTCCGAGATCCGAAGAAGAAAAAGACGCATTTATATAAGAACGTACGTAGACCGCGTCTCTCGACGGTCTTGACAAGTTGTCGCCGAAGATCTGTTCAGCTTCTTACGTCTCCGCTTTTTGGGTCGACATTCGTCTCGCGATTCTTTTTAGAAGTAAAAATCGCGCTGTACTGTAATCAGCGTGGTGCAGTAATCAAGATGCTGCACAGATTCACGGTGCTCGCGATCTTCGCGGTGGCGGCCGTATCCGCTACGAGTCCGCCACGAGTGTGTAAGTATTTCACAAAGTTTTGACAAAATCGATTCACAAAAATATAAAAATCGCTTATCGAAAAATAAATATAAAGATTTATAAAAATCTTATCTTTGCAAAGCATAATAAAAACTATTTTATATTTTTATATGATTCATTGATAAAACTGAAATGAATAAATTACAACGATTTAATTATAGCAATTTCACCATTCTAATCTCATGATTTAAAATTTTGAGTCTAATCTCAAATATCTATCTTCAGGTAAATTCAAAAGTGCATTTAATAAAAATCATTGAATTATTAACTAGATTCTTTATTTATTATTATGCGCGCAGTCACGATGTGCATCCCTGAGAAATACGCGAAGGAATGTGCGAAGATGATAGAAGACTCAGCCAGCAAAGGATACCCGATATCGTGCATTTCCGGACGCGATCGATACGATTGCATCGAGAGGGTTGGTAAGAAGGAAGCGGATATTGTCGCCGTAGATCCGGAAGATATGTATCTCGCAGCGAAGAATCAATTAGCTGAAAAAGCTGGATACAATGTCGTTGAACAGGTAATATCAGACTTGAGATATCTAAAAATTAGATTTCTAATAAATGTAATAGAATTTATAGATACGCACAAGAAATTTAAAAATATTATTTATAAAATAAGAGAGAAATTCTCATAGAAAAAAAAAACAGACTAAAATAGTATAATTAAATAAAAATTTTAAGGATTTTAGAGATATTATTTTTAAGCTATCTTGGAAATTTTAGATTATCATCCATTGATTTAAAACGTACATATTTTATGCACTCTCGAAAATAGGATATAGTATTTACGATCAAATAAATTTTCAAGCAGAATGAATAATGTATGACATGAATTCCTTCTCTTTGCGTTTGTACTATCAGGTCAGGACAAAGGAGGAACCCGACGCGACATATCGTTACGAGGCAGTAGCCGTAATACACAAGGATCTGGACATTCACAATGTTCAGGGCCTGAGGGGTCTCAAGTCCTGCCATACAGGTGTGGGTCGTAATGTCGGTTACAAGATTCCACTCACGAAGCTAACCGCTATAGGCGTGTTGACCGATATCAACAACCCGGAATATTCCGCCCGCGAAAATGAGCTTCGCGCTCTGAGCACGTTCTTCGACAAAGGTTGTCTAGTGGGCAAGTGGTCGCTCGATCCAGCAATCAATCAGAGACTCAGTAAGTGATGGCAATCTAAAGAACTTGCGTCGATTATGTCATATAAGCGAACTGCCAGTAAACAGTATTGTTAGCTGCGCGCATCCAAAAATGCACTATTATTTTCTCTATTTTTCAGAGGAGACGTACAGCAACATGTGCGACCTTTGCGAGAAACCAGACGTGTGCGATTATCCAGACATATATTCCGGATACGAGGGCGCGTTGCGTTGTCTAGCTCACAACGGCGGGCAGGTTGCATGGACGAAAGTCATCTACGTGAAACGCTTCTTTGGCTTGCCCGTGGGAGTCACCCCGGCGACGCCGACGCGCGAGGATCCAGCCAACTTCCGATATTTCTGTCCGGATGGTAGCAAAGTGCCCATCGATGCCCATACGAAACCGTGCACATGGGCTGCCCGACCATGGCAGGGATACATGACCAATGGGGATGACGCCAATAACGTGGAAGCTATTCAAAGAGTGAGATTTGTTTCTTAAGAAATTATATATTTGATGATTTATTGAAATAAAGATGGCACTTTGCGAAAAAATTATTTTTATATCTACGTAATAAATTAATAATTTGAAAATATAATATTTTAATCTATGATAAATATGATTTAAGTATAATAAATGAAGTCAAAAATTAATTATATATTATTACAAAAATTTACCATTCTAATAAATATGACAGGTGGGCCATTTATCACTTATTTCATTAAAAAGACAATTACAATGGAAGATTTAATTTAAACGATTTCCTTTGTACGACATCGATATTTTTTAATCGAGATAGTAATTTAATTTTAAAATGTTTCAGGAATTAACACAATTGGGTCAACTTGGAGAGAATGAGAAAGCAGATTGGTGGAAGGATCTTTTGTTGCTCAACGAGAAGACCTTGGCTGTCGCTGCACCGCCAGTATCACCGGAAGAGCATCTGAAAAGCGCAAAATATGTAGATGTAATCGAAAGAAATTTCGGAGCGCCGGAGAGGGACGCTCGTTGGTGCGTTTGGAGTCAAAGTGCATTAGACAAGTGCCGTAGTCTCGCTAGAGCTGCGTTCTCCAGGTACATACATATACAATTGCACATGAAAGGTATCAATGTTTTCAATCAGACAATTCAAAAAGAATTTTGCTTCAAAACAAATTTAATTTATTATTATTATTTTTATTAATTTATTATTTACTTTTATCGAGATATAATAACATAAAAGTTAAGCAAATTTTGTCAGTTACGTCTCAAAGATACGTAAAGATAGGTGAAGAAATCATGATTCTATCTTAATGAAAATTCTTCAGATTTAATTATCATACACACAAGATATTTGTTGTTGACGAAAAGATGCAGATATTACATTACATTCATATTACATTATGTTACAAACTATATAGGGATGCCAGACCGAGATTTGATTGCATACTGGAGAAGGACGAGATTGCTTGCTTGAAGGCCGTCAGGGACAATGGAGCAGATATAACTGTAATTGACGGCGGATCGGTGAAACTCGCAATCAACAATTATAACGCGAAACCGATCGTCAGTGAGGCTTATGGCGAGGGATCGACGCAACTCAACGAGATACCGGCAGTTGCTGTTGTTAAGAGAGGTTCTTCCATAAATGGATTAGGTATACGAGTTTATGTATTTAAAATGCAAACATTCTACATCGAAATAAAATCCCTACATCTGTTGTAAAAATACTAAAATATATTATATTCTGAAAGAGAAAGAATTAGAGCTTATTTGTATCTTATATTCTGAAAGAATCTGAATTAGAGCTTATTTGTATCTTAAAAACTGAGATACTAAATTAATATCAACACATATTTTTATAAACTAAAATTTAAAAATAAAGTGAATTTCGAATTAAAGAAAGCCTTAAAAAAAACTAAAAAGTCCAAAAGAGTTTTTACTTGCAAGTATCTGTTGTGAATTATGAATTTTGTCAATAATTTCCTGTTACAGGCGATCTCAGAGGCAAAAAATCTTGTCGCAGTGGCTACGTGGGCGATTTTGCTGGTTACTCCGCACCGGCCCACATTCTCAAACAAAAAGGGCTTATTAACGAACCGGAAGAAATAGATACCTTCTTCTCCGAATCTTGTGCACCTGGCGCACCTCTCAATTCCAAGTCTTGTCAATTGTGCGTTGGCAATATCGAATCTGGTGACGATCAAGTGAAAGAAGCCACGAAATGCAGACCGACGAATGTTGAACATTACAATGGCGGAAAAGGAGCACTCAGGTAATTTTGTGTAGCTCATTCATCGATAGGGCACATATTTTTCAACATTGTAAAAATAAATTTAATGTATGATCTTCTCCCATTATTATAGAGAATAAAATTAATTATACGAAACAATACAAAGTTTTTTTTTATAATTCAAAAACAAAAATATGTATCTTACATTTAAAATATTGTATTACCTTTTAAGAATTTAATTTGCATCTTCTTCTCCAGGTGTTTGAAAGATGGTAAGGGAGACGTTGCGTTCCTACCTTTGACGGCTTTGCAACAGCTAGGTAAATACAATTTTAATTAAATAAATTTAATTTAATTATATTTATCATTTCATAAATATATATCATATTTTAGATAACGAGAAAGATGGTGCAGGTAAACGTGAAGATTATGTCTTGCTTTGTCCGAATGGTGGTCCATTCCAAGCACCCATCAATGAATGGGAGCGTTGTAACTTAGGATTAGAACCACCACAGATAATCGTCAGTTCGGCAGAAAAAGGCCCAAACGCCTTGGAAGAGTTGAAACACGGCATTTTAGCCGCGAGCACCTTATATTCGAAGCAACCGGATTTGCTGCGTCTTTTTGGCGCTTGGGATGACAAACGCAACATATTATTCAAGGTAAGAAGATTATCATTTTCTCTATTTGATTAAATTTAATCAGTAGTTTTCTAATTAGATTATTTTTTATTCATATTAACTGTAGAAAGCCAGATATTAAATATTGTAGTATTCTTATAAATAGCATTTAAATAAATATATTAATTTATTAAGCAGAAATATAATGTAAAGATTTTAATTGATTAACTATAAATTCATTATAATATTATAAACAATTAATTTATACATTTTTCTCATAAACAATATTTTCACTCAAATCAGATGATTGCATAGAATTTTAATTTAAAAAGATTGTTCAACTATATATTTTTTAAGTAAGAAATATTGTATCCTTTTTAGGATAACGTGAAAGAATTATTATCCATCGATAATAAATTGGACAAATGGGACACTTGGGCAAATATTCAACAAGACTATGGCAATCATTAAATCATTTCGTACCCGAGAATTTATAAGAATAAAAAAGCACCTGATTGTATATGATGGATGTCGTATTATGTGATATTGGTTCTACTATTATTGCTGAGAAATTATCTTTATTAAGTCATATATCAATGACTTATCAAAAGGACTGTTAGATAAATAAATAGTTAATAACTTCGCTGTTTATGTATATTGCCGCGACAGAGATTACGGCATTTTCAATATCAATATCAATATAAGAAACTATAATTTTCTTGAAAGAATTTTCTTAAAAGATATTAAAAATATATAATTTTCCGAGCATACAACGTGTATTATTTTATGTATATCCTACTTTCTTCTCATTATATAATTTTATAACATCTTTTAAAATAAATATTAGAAATAGTAGTAACCTTCGTCTATTTTTGTACACGCACTTTAAAAATTATTCAAAATAATCATGTTAAGTGATTCATCTTCTGTACTAAAATAAATTTTCTATACATATATTTTATTCTTAATATATATTCTACTCCTTATTATACTCTTGTGTTAGAGGAACGGAAGAATTATTTTAAAAAAAATGAATAAGTAAAATATGTTAACAATGTTACACAAAAGAGACATATCTTGCAATTTGCATTTTTTAAAATATTTTATTTATTCGCGCATAAATTTCATTTTCCTCATGATTCATTGATTCATTAATCTCTTTAATATATAGATAAGTAAAATGGACGAGATACATGTTCAAGATACAACAAAATTTATTTTATTAAATAAAATTTTCTAATAAAAATCTTTTATACAATCAACATTATAAAAAATTAGTTTAACAATAAAAATTTTTTTAAACAAAAAATAATTTATATTATAGTTTTATTTCTTTAAAAGGCAAACACTTTCGAAATTTTTTTTTATAATCATCTATATTCTATTAAATACAAAATTATTTATATAAATATATATATATATATATATATATATATATAAATTTATGTATTGATTTTTTGATAATTTTATTTTACTTCTATACGTACCAAATGTAATTGAAAAAATTAATATAAGAATTGATATTAAGTATCTCATATTTAATATATTTATATTAACTAATTAATATATTTAATATTATAATGCTATTATAATTAATTATATACTATTATAACTATTATAATTAATATATTATATTAATATATTTAACTAACTAATATATATATATATATATATATATATATATATGTATAATATACTGATATTAACTATCTTATATTAATATTGATCAGTTAATATCAATTCTTTATATTATATTAATTTTCACATTTGGTATGTATAAAAGTAAGAAAATAAAATATTATCAAAAAATTAATAAATAAATTTATCTGAGAAAAAATATTTACATTTTATATATATAGACACACACATATATTGTATGTGTGTATATACATATATATATATATATATATATATATATATATAATATATATATATATATATATATATATATATATATATATATATATATATAATATTTTGTATTTAAAAGAACAAAGATGGTTATGGAAAAAGCCTCGAAACCTCGAATTGTTTCTACTTTTTAAATAAATAAAACTATAATAATATATTTATATTTATATATCTTATATTTATATGTCGTATCTAATTTAATATCATGTAATTTAATATATATGCAATTTAATATTTAATATCTTAATCTTTCATGAAAGAAGCTTGTATTACATTTTATTCATCATTAATATAATCATATAATTTTTTCATTTTATCGAGGAGAAAATTGGAAACTCTTCCGCGTTTACTACGCAAATATTTTTTATATACAATATTCGAACCAAATTTATCAGATTCCAGAGTTTGTTGTATTATATTCTGTTTCGTAAAACTTATCGCCATCTCTTCCCATCTAAACAGATATTTTTCGAATTAATACAAAAAAATTTGTGAAATTTAAAATTAATTCTTTTATATATATATAAATAACGTATTACAAAATATTTTCTGAATTATAAAAGTAATAGACACTAAAACATATATTTTTTTTATCACGTAATAAACTAGACTATTAAACATTAAGTGCTCGTGAATATTTTCCTTAAACATTCCTTTCTCTTGTTCTTTTATAATGTATAAAAATATAAAGCCTTTACCGTTTCGGAAGATACAACTAATACATCTGTTTGGAATTAAAAAATAGAACTTATTAATTCTCTTACTCTGTGAGCGAATATTTATGTTTCCGTAATTCGCACCATATATTCATATTAATATTATCAGAATATATGCAACAAAGTGATATTTCAGCCGCAGTAATGGCCAGAACACGTACTGGCTTATCACATAAATTTTCATTTAACATAGATATATCAAGCTATAATGTAAAAAAGAGACTGTTTATTTGCGTAGAACTTACCGTACTAAAAATTAAATCGTATATATGAAAGAGAGATTTACTATTTATATCTATTCTCTTACCAAATAACTACCACAGAAATAAATGCGTGGAATATCGTTTGAATTAATATTATGCTTTTTATCTTGTATCATTTCCAATATATAATAGATAAGCAATGAGAAGGGATCGGCAAATCTTAAATTGAAATTAACAGCTGATATAATCTTCATCTCATACATTAATAAATCTTTTTCTTGACCTATATATAAATCTTTTGCCATTTGCACTATCGTAGTCGCCTAAAAAAATAAAATATAATACACATTTATATTTTAAAACTGCAATATATTATTTTATTTATTTAATATTATAATAGTATATAACCCCTTTTTAATTATTTCTCTGAATAAAAAATTCTATTACCGATGGTATTTTATAACTAGTTAATTCTCGCTTGAGAGTAATCCAAAGACATGTCAAAGCCATTAACTGTATATTATCTGTTTCTATTAAAATTCTGTCAACAGCGAGATCGAACAGTTTGACAGTTTGATAAATAATATTTGATGAATATTGATAGTGTATCTAAAAATTGTGATTGTAAACAATTAAAAATAGAGTTCAGTGTATAATTTAAATTTATTTCTTCTTTCAAAATATCATTATGACAAATATATATTTCATATTAATGATTATTGTTGTATTTTATTATTGATAAGTATTAAAAATAATATTAAAATAGTATTAGAAATAAATTTTTATACACTTATAATTACAACAAAATACGAGTTTATTAAAATCACACCATTTCAGTTTTTGATTTATATATGTTAGTTATTTATATTTGTAATTAAGAAAGAAAAAGAGAAGAGAGAAGAGTCACACACACATTATACTTACTCCAAGACGAATCAAATATCCTACAATGATTCTTCTTTGATCTGCGTTTACATTTTGCTTCAAAAAATGAAAAGACAGTTTAGGAGTATTGCTCTCTCTTTCATGTTCTACATATGGCACTACATCCAAATAATCATATTCGTATGGATGAATATCTTCGAAATCTTCCTTTTTGGTCGATAATTTGTTATCATGCGTCGCTTCACGTTTCAAATAACGTACCTTTTTAACAAACATTTTTTTAAATGCTATATCGAGCAAATGATTTAAAACTATGATCTAATTTGCTTTACAGTTCTTACATATACATACACAACAGTCTATAAATTGATACACATATTAAATTTATGTGTTTTGAAAAATTGATACACATATTAAATTTATTTTGTATTAACATATTAATAATAATATATATAATAATGATGCATATTGCCATTACCTTTGTCGGAGTTATTGGTGGGACCAAAGAACCATCTAGAGGTGTTATGGAAATCATAAGACTGGTTCGAAATCCAGTGTTTAACTGATCTCGTTTATCATATTCAACAATATTGCTTGTGCTAAAAAAATGTTTGTAATAATTCAACATAGCGTAAAGTAACTTTTCAATTATTCTACAGTCGGAATCTATAATGATTCATAGAGATGATTTTTGTGATAATATAATGATACTTAATTAATAATTAAATATTTAATATAATATTAATAATAGATCAATTTTTTACAATTAAATATCTACTTTATTTCTATAAATTGTTTTTTTTATTACCTTGTATTAATATTAACTCGTGTATTTAATAAATTGTTATCTTGCAAAATTGACACGATTTCGACGTTTGGTAAATGTTGGATTTTAGATGTCGTGATTTTTTCATTCTGCTTAAACATCCGATCTATTTTCTGTGGATGATTTAATGATTTTTGAGGCAGACTTTTGGGACGTTCAGAACTCTTTCGTAGTTTGATTTTATTATGGGTTTTTTCTACATTTATATTAGGATATTTGGTCGCCAAATTCTTAGGCACAGTACCAGCTAAAAAGATCGCGCGAGTGAAAAAAATTTTTTGATAATATTTATAATACATATTTATAATATATATTTATAATTTATATTTATAATACATATGAATTCTTTGCTTTCAAAGCAAGATCTGGATAGAAAATACAATCGATTAATATAGTTACAATAAATATTCTCATGATACTAACTATTTGATTTCCTCATCTTATTTTTCCACATTTCAATACTTGTAAATGTTCGTTTTTTAACTTCGACTGAGAGATGTTTAGTTTTGGAAATCTGTGCACGTTGCGATTCTGTTCCGACGCATTGTGCATCCTGTAGCAATGTTTTTCTACTTTCAGAACAAGATCTAGATAGGAAACAAATAAATGTAATATACGAAATGTTTCTTAATTACTCGTGTATCAATATTCCATCTAAAATTTAATAGAAATACAAAACAAGAAAATTTTATATAAGAGAACATGATATAACTATAGATTGTTTGAACTCTTTATTTCTTTATTATAGAAAAAATTATAAAAAATGTTTTAAATATTTTTCACTTTTTTAAACAAAATATATAATATTTATTTTTATTATTTTCAATCAAGAAGCGATTGGAATATTGGTAAATGATATTAGTAATTATGTAAAAGATCAAAATTATTTCTTAAGTATATATTATAAGAAATAAATATATAATAATATTCTCTAATTCTCTGTAATTTGTTATAAAATAAAATTTGAACAATTTATATAATAAACATAATATTTTTTGCATTTTTATTTCCGTGCATATAATACTTTTCCATTTTTTTAAACTAAATTTTAATAAATTTAAAGATCATATCTTGTATTAATTTAAAAAAATTACTTGTATGCAAAATTACCTTTGAAATAATTTGCTGTTCATGTTCTTTTTATCTGAAGAAACTTTGTTTCGGCAGTTGCTTAAAGAACGCGCTCTAAAAAATAAATCTTTTTTCTTCTACAGGACATACATAAACTTATCAAAACTTTATTATATTTATATTTTATTTATTTATATTTTGTTTAAACATTATACACATCAATTTCATGTGTCTTTAATATTTCTATATATCTCTTTTAATTTTTAATTTAAAAATATAAATTTTTCATAGAAATAAGAAAAAAAATATTAAATTTAATGATCCTTACATACCTACATAAAACAGTTGTACCTGATGTATCTCTTTGCAAGCGCGGGCGTGATCTGGAATTTTCTTCATTATCGTAATGAATTTTAAATTTAGTTTCACCCAGGAAAGGTTTTTGCGCTGAAGGATTTGAAACAGAATTCTTCATTTTTAACGATAATCTTTTGTTAATTTTACAGCCATTCTTATTTTTAGCAAGACTGTTACTTTTTTGTACTTCCATATTCTCTTTATTTATAGACACGTGGTCTTTTACATTTAATTCCTTGCGACTTTGCGCCCGAGGAATATTTTTTGGCATGATCTAATATTATTTAAATATATTTATTATATGTATAAGCTACATATATATTTTACACACTCACACACATATATACGTATACGCATTTACATTCACTCTCACATTCATACACAAATATATATCTAATATAATTAAGTACTTCGATTAATAATGAGAAAAACTGTTTTCACAAATTATATTCACAAACTATATTTACAAAGATATGAATTTGAATAAATAAGATATTGGATGATTTTAATATGACATGTGCGCGTTATTCCTCCGGAATTTTGAACGTAACTGCCAGAATAATCGACATTCTACGGTCTGTGTGTTTTTGTGCTAGACATCTATTCGTCCTACTGTGTATAATCGTATACATATTATAAACACGAAACCACCAACATCAGAAAATAATATGATGAATTAAAATCGTAGAAATATAATCTGCATACTATTTATTCTCTGTGGGAATTATTATATTGAAACTAAAAATATTAAAAATTTGATATAGAATAATATTTCAATAAAATATATTATATTTGTAAATATATATTGCAGTAAAATATTATATTTTATATCTAATTTTTAATATTTTTTTCAGTTTTGATATAATAATAATCAGAAATAATAAACAGCATGCAGATTATATTTCTGATTTTCAATCATCTCATGTTTTAACGTTTATGATTATTATTACACGATTAATTATTTACATTATTAGATGCTGTATGTTAACAGGCTAAAATCGGCAGATCATACATATATATATATATATATATATATATATATATATATATATATACAGGGTGTATCTTAAAAAGCTCCCACTAAGCAAATAGCGTTATTCCTGATTAAAAACCTAGTCGAAAAGTCCTAAACCATTTATATATATATATATATATATATATATATATATATATATATTAGACAATTTTTTTATAGAAGATTTATTATATTTTATTAAGCAAAATATATCATGCCATAACAGCAGAGCTATGTATGTACATATATTTTCTATTTATTTTTTTAATTGCGTTTTCGATTATGATTTATCGATTGTGCTTGTTTCTTTATTGGATGATTTATCGATTGTGGTTGTTTCTTTATTGGATGATTTATCGATTGTGGTTGTTTCTTTATTGGATGTTTATCGATTGTAGTGTTTTTCGAGTCTGATTTATCGATTTTAAACTTGACCCGTTTAAAACAATTTTTATAAATGAAATGTTCTATAATATAAACGAGATAACTGATGAACAAAGCTATAGCTATGAGAAGCAGCAATGGCATTATATCACCAATCTCGACTGATTTCCACGATGATGCTGACTGCAATCGATAACAAGTATTAAATTAAGTATTAAATTAAAAATACAAATGTACAATATATCGAGCCATTATTACAAATATAATTAATAATTTTCTGCAATATTTATTGCCTTACTATTTTACTATTTATTGTATTATTTATACTTACTGTGCCTAACTGGACCGACCATTGCGTTTCCAGTAATCGTTGTAAAACTCCACTGTCCCTCAATAGCAAGATACTACAATAATATTAATAATGCTCAATTAATGAAATAAAATAAATAATACAAAATTCGAATGTCTAAAAACACTTCTTATACTTAATTTACGTTAATAACTTGATACTCACTGTGTATTAATGATACCACGATACGGACTGTTGCGCTGAACGGCCATGGCTATAGTAGCAGGCGTAATGACATCCAATGGCTCCAACTTGCAATTAACTCTCTGTTGCAGTATTTCTGCCATACTATCGAGTGTAACAAAAGCGTATTTATCCTCTCTGCAAACCTTCTCCAGACCTTCCACGTAACTCGTTGGCAATTTTTTTTCTTTCAATATTAGCTTATTAAATAACTGGCTCATTACTTTGTCTGTTGTATGCTGCCGTAACAAAATTATCATATAAATTATAAAATTTTTCATAAATAGTATAAATAGTATAAAATTCTCCATAAATAAGATTTTCATTTCTTTAGCTATATTACTCGGACAAAATGTTAAATTAAAATATGTGTTATCTTTTGCATGACATAATTTTTTGATATAATTATATTCATACATAAAGATGATGAGTACATACATATTTAATTAATTAATACGTAATAAGCTGCTACAGAGTGTCTCAAACAACATCTCTAAGATCCTGATAGTAAAAAAAGAATTTACCTGAAGAAAGGCATAATAGGCCGAATTAGCAACCACGCCACAACCGTAAGACCCATCTTTTAAGAGCCCCTCCATAGTCGTGAAAGGCATAACGAATGTCTGGACAGTAAGAAAACTAATCAAAGCAGCAGAATACGCGGCTAAGATAATGACCGCTGTTAAGTAAGTTACTAAATGCACCATTCTTATAGGATCCAGCGTAGATTGTTCCATACCTGACAAGATATTATATCTCATGATAATAATCATATATTTAAAAAATTACGCACAATTCTAAGATAGGACCATTTATTTGAAAAGAGAATGACGCGAAATTACCTTGACCGCAAAACGCCCCTGTGATAAAAAATAAAATCTCTGTAAATCTTGATGGTGCATTATCCTCCCGCAAATGTATGACTGCAAAAAGTTTTTGAATAAACACGATCGATACGCTGAGGATTATTATGAAAAGACCGATAGCCCTCCAAATATTCACGGAGAAAGGCGCCACATAAGCATCCCATTTTACTGTGCTTATTGATTCTGGTCTTTTAACGTACGGACGGACACTAATAATACATACACGGAATGTAAATAATTAATCATCATAAACATAAAATACGAGACTTAATGTATTACATTAAATTTAACGTATAATAATACTGAAAACTAATTGAATCAAATAAATTGCTCTACTAATAAAAAAATATATTATATGCTCTAAAAATATATTATATGTTCTAATAAAAAAATATATATATATGTATATTATATTATATGCTCATATTTTTATATTGTGCATAGAATGTTATGTAGAATGTCCCCGAACATCTTGAAGCTGTCTCCAAAATATTAGATTGAGACGTTTACTGCATTTAGAATATTTTATGAAATGAAAATATACTTGGTCGAGAAAATGGGTGTTGTAAAACTGACGAAGTTTAATCTCTGTTTAGTCATCATGAACTCGGTCGCCGCGAAGTCAATTTCATCATTTTTTAACATTCCTATTGCACCCGTGCAGGAACCGTTTGGAAAACACATGCCCCACGATCCGGCTTCCTTGTATGTAAATCTGAAATAAGTGTTTAGCATATAAATAATCGATTTTTATAATTAGCTCTTAGTGAATATATTGTCACTACTTATCTTAAAAAAAAAAGAATGATCAAATAATTTCAAATGACAATTCTGTAACAACTTCACAGTAAAAGCTGTCAAAATCATGATTAAAATTATGTAAAAATTATCGATAATTTTTATTAATCAACATTAATTCTCAATAATCTCGGAACGAGCACGAGACTACAGGATGAAGAACCGGTGATGACGTCATGCTGCGTAATTTTGCTATAAAAAGAATTAGTGTAAAAAGGATGAAGACAATGATGTAACCCCCGTTCTTTAATGACATTATTAAATATTTTTATCAATCTGAAAAATAAGTGTTTAAATATCATGACGACTAATATATCCTATTTATTTTATTACTGATTATATAAATATCAATTTAATATAGTTATTATTTATCAAGTCATTGATATTTATTGTGGCGATATTATATGATATACTTTTTTCAAAAGAAAGCTTTTAATATTTTATAATAAATACAATAGAGATATGTATAATTAGGTATTATCCATTATGCAACTCGAGAACGTATTCGGAAAGACGTCGAAGAAGCGGTGATGGTCGAAAAAGAGAAATTTTTGAGGAAAAAGGAGCAGCTAGCGAGGAAGAATACTTTCGAAGAGAAACAGCCAGGCAATTAAAAGAGCTCAAAGAACAGCAAAAACAACGTGCGGAAGAAAAGAAAAATAAAATAGCAAACGAAAAGGATAAAGCAGCGGAAAAAGACAGTGAGCAAAAGAAACGCAATCAAGTTACAGACAAAACTATTTCAAAGAACTCTGACAAAAAATGAAAAAAGTCAAATACAATAAATAATAATCAATTATACAACGTTTATTTTTTATTAGATGTGATAAGTGATATTTTTCTTTAAAATTACCAATTCTTAATTAAATAAATTATTAATTATTGAATTTAATGCTTAACAAGCAATTAATTATTGAATTAATTATTAAATTTATGCTTAACAATCAGATAATGTGTTTATAATCAAATATATATATAATAGATATTTCTTTTATCTAATGGTACTTACGTGCAATTTAATTCTTCCTGCAAAAGCAAAATTATTTCGCCAAAAAAGCCATAAACCCCTATAACTTCATTCCGTTCGTTTCGACGAAATTGACTGACAGGAGGATCCTATAAATATAAAATGTCGAAGCGAATATTATATTACTTGAGCTCAATTATATCACTCATTCTTAATTTAAATATATTATTAATATTGTTTTTTTAAGTATTAATTTTAAGTATTAATTTTAAGTATTAATTTAATTTTATATTATTTATTATTATGATTAAAATCTTTTTTTAGAAAAATAAAACAAGCGATCTTACCTCGAGCGACGCAACGCGTAAGTTATGGCCGAAAAGATCGTTTCTTCGTAAATATAAGCCATATGGAGGACCTTTCAAACCTTCCTTCGCATCCCATACACCAAACTGATTCGATCTCAATTCTTTATCTTTATAAACTTGATAAACTTCAGTGATGATCTCTTTGCCGGTTTCATTGATGCTGCTTTGAGCCACCATAAACTTACAATTGTATGGTATATAAATCTCGAAGAAGAAGTCCGCCAAATTGGTCTTGTTATTGAAGAAGACCAGCCAAGTAGGATAAGCCATTGTGATCCACGTAGAGACCTGCTGCATTTTAGTAAGTAAACGTTCCACTTGTCGACATTTTCTCAAATTGTAAAATTTAATCAGATACGAAAAAGTAATAATTTGCGACAAAAACTTCTGTTATAAAAGAAATTTTAACATAAATTTATGTAAAAGTAAAGATTTTATTGCGTTTGTTAAATTTATTTGATTTAAATATATTTATTACGTCAAAAATTCAGGTAGAGAAAAACTCTTTTGTATTTTTATTAATGATTGATTTTGTATAATAATAAATAAAATAATATTACTGTAATAAAAATCCAAAAAGATTTCAATAAGTTTTAAAATCGTATCTTTAATTTTTCCAGATATAATTACATTCACAAAATTATTCCTTGTATTTTCATTGTCGTTTAATAAAACGAATAAAGGCCTCTTGATGTGATGATAATTTTCTCCGATCTGCAACAAACAAATCTTTTCTCTAGTAAAAAATAAATGTATTTCCTTTTTAGTAAGATATTAATGCTTTTGAAAAATTGTAACAGATTATCCAATAACTTTATGTATTAATATATCATTATAAATATTACTTTAAAATAATAACAAATCTTATCTCTCAATGATCGTATGCTAATATTTATATAATAAAAGATATAAATTATATGTATGTATGTGTATGTGTATAAAAAAATAAATTCTAAGTGCTTACTCGCATTATAAGCATATGAAAATCCATGATTGCGGTATGTATATGAAGAGTCGAACTCAGATATTTTTGAAGATGCAGCAAGCGATCAGCTTCCATAAGTCCTGCAAAGTAACAACTTTCCGTAAGCGAAAAATCGATTCTGGTAAATAAAATTTTCCGTCTCTCCATCTGCTTCTCACCCTGCGTTTCAATAGGATTCGGATTAGAATGCAGGAGTATAATGCATGTATTATTGAAGTAGGTGTGAATATCTCTGATCAAACCCTCGTACACGTAAATTGGTCTAATCAATTGACCCCACACAAGATCGAACATCACTATTATCCATATGATCAAACTTGAGATCAAGAACATATTGAACTTGTGAAACATTCTTCGTCGCACTGAAATTTAACAGATCTCACGAACCTTGACACGATCTCGACGTTTTCAGATCTAATATATTTTATCGTCGCATCAATACTGTGCCTTCCGCCGATCGCGACGGGAGGCAACCAATTTAGATATCAGATAAGTAGCATAATAGCAGAATAATCAAGTGTCGCACGATTTTATTCGTTGTCTAGTCGATATTAAAACATAACACATGATTTCGTTCGCGCCGATCGCGCTTCATCAATTGTTAGACAGAGAAACAACGGTTGTATAAATAACGATTTAACCAACGATTCGTTTTGCAGATTCGCAGCAATTGAAACGCGAGAAATTAAACGCGATTTTGTGCTTGTATGAGAAAATTTAAAAAATGGTAAGAACATGAGAAACCGAGTAAGCGAGAGATCGACTGGCAGACACATCGATTCCGCGACTCTCGAATAAATTATATGTTTGTTCTCTTCACGTATTTGCTCTCCTGTTTGTGCAAATCGGACTAAGTCGCTATTCAAACAATTCTCTGTACACGGTCGAGGTACACAGCGATGATTTTGAGCGGAATATTGTTTATTAAGTGAAATAATTTATAAACTTTGCTGGTAAATTTATACAAATTAAACAACTGATTTGTTTGTTGGATATTCTCGTCGTAGGAAACGACGTCAATGGGATATTTTGATTTAGATTCAATATAGTTATACATCGTGGAATCTAGATAATTTATAAATAATACTGAAATAAACGGAAATTGAATTAATGTTTAAATTATTATGCAATATAAAAACGAAAGATTAGATAATTATTGGGATTTATTAATACGTCTTGTTTATCAGTATGAACTTTTTTAATTAAAAAACGATTAACGTAATTCTATATGTTTTATATATATAACATATATAATTACGTTAATCGTTTTTTAATTATAGAAATACGTTAATCATTTAGATTTGTTTATCGTTAATCGTTAAGATTTGTTTTTAAAACAAAACATAAAATGAAATTTATAACACAACAACACAACACGAGCATGAAATATTGAATAATATATGTTTTAATAGATGTTATAATTGACAATTCAAGCAAGCATTAAAGTATAAATGAATATGTGTGTATGTCATTAGATTTTAATAGAATTAACTATACGTAATATGTGTAATAATGATGACACATAATGTGCAATAAATGTGGCTAATATAAATAAAATAACAACTTAGAGAAGAAAAAGAAGAATAACAGAAAAACGATTTTTTTTACTTATATAATATGAAAAATCATATTATTTAATGTCAGGAAAACCAACATATAAATTATATGTTATATCACTCGTAATAATCGAAAGCAAAACAAATAATGAGAACTGGCATAAGAATACAAGAATAGTGATAGTTCCGCAACGTATACGTAAATAGTCTCTAAAGTTATGTTTGAAAAAAATTATGTTGAAGCTACTTTTGATAATGTTTTTACATAATTTAAAAACATTTTTTCTTTTTCCAAAAAATAAAAAAAACAGTAAGTTGTAGTCAAAAATGTCTTATTAATATGTTATTAATTATAAACTTGAAATTTATTAACATTCTTTTTTTTACTCATATCAGTATTAAGTAGCCTTATATCAATTTTAGTAGCATTCATTTTCAATTATATTTACATAAGATAAAATTTATAAATCATTTATGTACTCTACTTTAGAATTTTTTTCTAAAAAGTCTCACAACAAGACAAGATCGATAACATATTCATTAAACATCGATAATTTTTAAAAATTTATTGTTACTTAAATCATTAGTGTACTCTACTTTAGAATTTTTTCTGAAAAATCCTATAATGAGATAGAATCAATAATTACAATGTTATTATAAATAATAATTATTATAAGTAATAACATTGATAATTTGTAAAAATTTATTGTAATTCAAATCATGATTCATATTTTATAATACTTTTTTGCAAGGATTTTTATTTAAGTAGTGTGTAATACTTATCTATATGTATCTATATGTTATCTATATATATGTATCTATATGTATCTACATATACATGTATTTCAATATCATAATGTATAAAAATATCGTACAAGTGTAACACTTAGTTATTTTTAAGAGACTTCTTAAGAGAAGTGTATTAAAATATATTTAAAAAGCATCATGTTGCAAAAATCTATTTGTGCTATTCTTACAATTTTCGTTCTAATAACGATGCTACAGGCCAGTCGTAAGTATCCAAATATAATATATAAATGTGATTATAAATAAAATAAATATGTCATATTATTTTCCAAAACATGGATATAGTAGTAAGTAGAATATATATTTTATCTTACATATTTAGAGAAACTATAACTTTTTTCTGTCTGTGTACTTATTTTCTGATAAATTAATTTGTTAAATTTTAAAACACAGATTTATGCAATGTATTAATATACAAACAATATTTAAAAAAATTTTAAATATTTTAAAAAATACAATCGCTATTATTTTAAATTTGTTTCAAAATATAAGCTATCTCTCGACTTTTGATTATTTATTATAGTGTATATTATATATATATATATATATATATATATATATATATATATAGATCTTTAAATATAAATCTCTAAAAATAAATTTTATATATATATATATATATATATATATATATAATAAATATATTAAAAATATAAATATATTATGTATTTGACTGAGAGAGACAAATTTTCTGATTTACAGCAGTAGCTGCCGAATCTGACAGCGGCCTATTTAGTAACATCTTATCTAACATATCTCCACTATTACCAACCGATCAAATTGCAAACAAATATATAAATAGTATATTAGAAATGACACAAGGAGTACATTTACCATGTATGATATATTCCATCTTCCCATGGGAATTCAACTGTACTAAAGCCGAATATTAGTGAGCCGAAATTTATTTTCTTCTTCCATATATCAAATATTTGAATCGTAAACATCATTTAAATAAATAATAATTTAAATGACATACAATTTCTCTTATAATAAACTTTATATAATGTATTAGTAGTTTTATTAAATAAAAACTCTGCAACATTTAATTATATTTGTTACATAATGCAATATATATGAAAAAAACTCTACAATGTGGAAATATTTTTTACAATATTGTTATAAGTTTACATAAAGTGCATTTAATATTAAAAAATAAAATTTTTTAGAGATTTGAAAAATCTTAAGTCACTTTACGTTAATAAACGTAATATTAAATATTTTATTAAAATAAATGTAGATACGTTTACTTTAATAAACATATTACATTTATTTTAATAAAAAAAATAGTACAAAAATATAAATTTCAATTAGACTAATCACTTGGCAATGGCTCTATATGACATATGGTGTAAATCAAAATAAATAAAATAAATATAAAGGATAAATAAAAACCAGACAAGGATTTAAATCATATAAATCCTCATCTAGTTTTCATTTATTATTTATATTTATTTTAATTTATATCATATGTTGCCATATGTTACCTTATACACACACATACTCACATATTTATATATATTTTTACACTCATCCGTTAATAACATTAAGTTTTATGATAAATTTTAATATGATATGAAACATATAAAGCTATAATAACATATAATAGCTATAATTACTCCACTACTTGTATGTAGATATGAATTATATATTATCAATTATTTTTTCTAGCAAAATATTTTAACTCTACTAAAATAATATAATAGACTATATTATTTAAATTTCCTAATTGAAAATAATATTCACTAATAGAAATGAGCAAAAAAATCGACATTTTCAAAAATTGACAAATTGATAACTAATCGTCTGCTCCTGTGTGAAAAAGCATCTATATATGTATAGATGCTTTCTTGATTTTCAAGAGGAATGTTCAAGCTTTAATTTGAGTTTTGTTTCATCTCAATACGATGATTTTTTGCTGATTTATCACCATTCGAATAATCTTCTTAAAAATCAAGAAAGCCAAATTTGAGTTACAAAAAATGTTTTATAAAATGTCGGACATTGAAAATAGACTTTGAAAAATGCAAAACAATTTTTTTTTTTTAACTGCGTTGCGTTGCTCAGGAGAATCAGTTCTCAGATACAAAAATGTATAAGTTTTGAAGCTGATTTATTTCCTAACAAATTCATATTTTAATCAATTATCTACTTTTTTTGATAAAGTTACACTGTCTTGAAGAAAATATTACAAAATGGACTTTCTCTTGTAAAATCTGCAATTTAGAAATAAGTTATCATGGAAAATTTTTCCAAAGAGAAAATTAAAATGTAAATCGAATCAAAATGTTCCATATGGTCAGATTTAAATTTTGTGTGATTGTGTGCATGTATGTACGTATGCATATGCATGCATGTGTCTGCTCTTGGCGTTATCCAATAGAATCAACGGCGTAGCAGAAATCTGATCCCATGTGTGTGTGTGTGTGTGTGTGTGTGGGTATGTGTGTACATGTTGTATGTATTAATGTTTAGTATTGCCTCCTTTCGTATTTATTAATTCTTCGATTCCTTGGCACACTCTTAATCAAATTTCTTATTTCTTCCTGTCTTAAATTGTTTCTCCATGCAAAGCGTTGCGGAATTACTAAACATCCATATACACACACACACACACACAAAAACATATACACAGACACACATGTACATACACGCCACACACACAAGCACGCACGCACATGGATTTGATAAGAAATAAATGAACTTCAAAACTTACACATTTTTGTAGCGAAAGCCGAGTCTCCTGAGCAACGTAATAGTTAAAAAAAAATTTATTTTGCATTTCTTAAAGTCTATCTCCAACACCCGCTATTTTATAAAACATGAGATTTCTACTATGTCATTGATTATGAATAACGTCAAGAACAGGACACATGCATGCATATATACATACACTCGTACTTACACAAAATTTAAATCTGATCATGTGAAGCATCTTAGTTCAAGTTACACTTTAATTTCCTTTTTGAAAAAGTTTTCCACGATAACTCATTTCTGAATTGCAGATTTTACCAAGAGAAGGTCCATTTTATAACATTAATAAAGATCATAGAAAATTGATTAAAATATGGATTTGATAAGAAATAAATGAGCTTCAAAACTTACTCATTTTTGTAGCGAAAGCCGATTCTCCTGAGCAACGCAATAGTTAAAAAAAAAATTTATTTTGCATTTCTTAAAGTCTATCTCCAACGCTCGCCATTTTATAAAACATTTTTTGTAACTCAAATTTGGTTTCCAAAAAGAACGTTTAAGCTTTAATTTGAGCTTTATTTCATCTCAATACAATGATTTTTTGCTTTATTACTATTAAAAGATATTAAAAAATTATGCTAAAATTGAATGACCCGTTTTTTTGCAAGTAAGTGTGTATATATATATAATATCGGAAATTTTCTTATGTCCTATTTTAAAGAATATACAATAAATACCTATCAATTTTTGATATCATAAGTAAAAAATCTTTAATAATCTTTCATAATTACGTCACACGCAAAAAAATGCGAAAATAACAGAAAACAAGTAGACTGCAAAAGATAAGTAAATATCAAGGATTTTTTTTCCATATGAAATTACCATTGATAACTATGCGTCAATTTTGTCCGTGAAAAAATTCGTTTGTATTATTAGTTCTGCTTATCTTTCCGAGCCAACAGTTAATGCAAACCTGAGTGCGCGATCATACGTTTATTGAAAGAAAATAAAGAAAAAATATTTATATAGATAAAAAAGACATTTATATAGATAAAAAAACTTGAAACACAAAATAAATTATAAATTATCAATCACTATTCGCAATCAAAATTGGTATGTATAATTATAAAGTACAACATTTGAAATATTAATTCGACACATTATGATGTCTTTTTTAAATATCATTTGCCATTTTTATCGTACACAATTTGGACTAATTTATGCTAGAATGTCAAGCTGTCAGAAAATTGTATTAGATTAATTATTTCTTCTGATAAATGAGGGAAAAAATGATAAAAGAAAAATTGCGCATCCGAAAAGGTGTCTAAAAGAAACTTTGACAAGATAAGAGACAAGGCAAAAGTATAAAAGAAAATTTTTATACTTTCAGTTAAAACCAATAATTCACAAAATGAAGATACCAATTCTTGTTTTCTGTCTGACTGTAATATTTGGAAATATATCCTGCAGGATATATAGTAACGAAAATGTCGATTTAATAGAAGGAACTGCGGGTAAGTTATATATCATATATAATTTCAACATTATATTAACATTATATATAAAAATACTTATATAACATTTAAATATTTGTAAAATACTATCAAAATATTTTTAAATAATATACTATGTAACAATAAAACTATATAACATTACTATTTAAAAAACATTTCGATCTTTTTCATGAAAATTTGTAATATTTTTAATTAAAAAATTATTATTTACGGAATTATATTAATATAGCATTGAATACGGAATTATATTAATATAGCATTGAATAACGCGTTATAATACCTAAATAATATTAAAATCTTGAATGTCGTCAGTAGATAAAATAAAATAACGTAATTTAAATCGACCACACACACACACACACTGGCAATTTATTGAGTGGTAAAGAATCACAACACTTCGACCATAGGTTTTGGCTCTTATCAAGTGAAAATATCTTTTTTTTTCTTTTTTTTTTTTTTAACCAATATATAGTGAAAAAAGAAGGAATCACATGTCAAGATCGTTATGTAATTCCTTCTTTTCTCACTATATATTGGTTTAAAAAAAAGATATTTTCACTTGATAAGGACCAAAACCTATGGTCGAAATGTTGTGATTCTTTATCAACCAATAAATTGCCAGTGTGGTCGATTTAAATTACGTTATTTGATAATACCTAAAGTTTATCCAATGTTACACAGTGCAATTTGTTGTTAGATAATCTTTTAAAATTATTCTTTTACATATGTGTGCACGCTTTTTTAAAATTTATATAAGCTTATAATCGAAGAAGAGCTATTTCATGTAAGGATATTAAGTAAAAAGTTAAGTAAAATTATTATAAAATTTTTCCAGGTGATGAGAATTATGATATGAATTATTTCGATGTACCTTCGGAAAAATCTCTCTCGAGATACAAAAGAGCCAGTACGCTATCTCCAATTACGGATACTTTAATAGATACGATAGAAACTGATGTAACTGATTTAATTCAAAGTTTATCAAATTTAGTCAAATTTATTGAAGGCTTATTAACTGGACAAAAAGGCTTATGTCCAATGGGAAATTTGTCTGTCGAACAGTTAATTAAAAAGTTGTTCGAAGAGATAAAGCATCCGATCCAAGCAATCGAAACTATAATTTGCTTTATTTATAATAGTATTGGAGAAGAAACGAGTTCAATAGCATCCACATTATCCAAAACTATATCAAAATTTACATGCACGATATTTTTACCAGGACTACACAAAATATTGGGTGAAATAGATAGTAATTCTAATTTGCCTGCAAACATCAAAACTCTGATCTCGCTATTTAATACATTTTATCCGCTCATACAAACAACATGTAATAATAAATAAACAATAATACAATGTAATAAACAATAATACAATGTAATAATTAAGTAAACAACATAATAAAATTTAATTTCAATGAAAAATGGAAAATAAAAATGTATCATTTATAAAAATATATTTAAAGACTTGTATATTTAATTATCTTATAAAAATTTTCGATTTCAAAATAGCATCATTGTTGGAATATCTTATCACAATAGAATTTTAAAAGAAATTTATGATGTTAAGAAGTAAATTAAAATTAAAATATATATCAAAAATTATTAAAATTAAAATAGATAAAATTATATAAATTAAATAAAGAGAATAACTTAAACATTATTCACAAATTAAGAACATGAGTAGTGTATTATAATATACTTTTACATCTTATAAATATATAGAATATATATTAGTTTTTCTAATAAGTAGAAGGATATTGTAATTTAAAAATATTTTAATAAAGTCTATGCTACATGATGTACAATAAAAATAAAATGATTAAACTAGTTGTAAAAAGATTTTAATTTATATATATATATATATATTACACACACATTCTCTTTTTTTCTTTATACATAAGAGAAACATTATTAATGAGATACATAAATCTCATAACAATTATTTCACAGAAATACACACACACACACACACACACACACATATATATACCCAGCAAACACCAAATAACATTTATATAATTGTTAGTAATTTCTCACTCAACAATATAACTGTTACATGTTATGTAACTGTTACATACATGTTTCCGAGAAATTCACACAGAAACATATTTAAATAAAGATATGATCAAGAAATTTACATCATTTCCAATTTCTATTTCGCAATCTATTTAAAAAAAATTTTATACAGAATTCTGAATTAACTTATATAAACAAAAGATAATTTTTTTATCTATTATTGTCAAAAAAAATAATCATTAGAAAACAAATATAAATTTCTACATATTATTGAATCCTTATTTAAGCATTTATATTTAATAGTCATCATCATCATCATCTGTGTATTCGTCTTTTTCTAAAATTTTCGATACTTCTTCTTCGTGCTCTTCAATCTCATATTTAGACAAATGTGGTTCTCCTTCCATAAATTTTGCAAACCTGAAAAATTCATACAGTTGATGAAAAGATTTATTTCCTATATATATTGCTATATTAAATGTATATAATTGAAATTATATAACCTTATAGGATCTTTTAATCTTAAAACTGTCTTCCAAGGATTACATTCTGGACTAGAACAATAGTTTTGTAATTCTTTTAGAGATTTCCTAGTATGCCGTATTCCTTCTTGATAATATTGATCCTCATTTAATAATTTTCGCTTTTCCGGAAACACAGTTTGCCTTGTTTAAAAAAAAAATAAATAAATACTAAGCAATATTATCTTTTTGTGTTAAAAAAAAATTAAAAAGTATATAGAAAACATTTTTAAAATACAGATAAATGTAAACATACACGATACATAATTTATTATATCCATATATTTTAAAAATTTTGAAAGTATTATTAAAATTAATAGAAATTATTATGTATCAGACCAACTTAGAAAATATTTGTAGCATTTCTTATATACTTATACTGTTGATAATAATAATATTTTTGAATAAAATTTAATAATTCAAAGATCATAATATGCGATCGATTCTCTCATATTTTTTTAAATAAAATGGATAAAAGAATTAACACATTTTATTGCAAATTATAAATATACACAATTTCTATATATACATATCATATAAAAATGTATCGTATAAAAAATATATTCAGAAAATATGGAATAGAAGGTTTCATTATAGAGAAACCAAACAACTTAAATAAAGCTTATTAAAAACCTGTTAAAGTAGTGCATGTTAACAATAAGCTTGTTTAAGTTTGTGCTTGCTTAATTAACACTAAGCTTGTTGAAGTTTTGCTTGTTTAGTTAAAAAATATATAAAATAAAAGCTGATAAAAATAAAATTACATATGATTATATAAGGCGTATTAATTATTACTTACACTACATAATATTCTTAAGTATTAATTAATACAATTCGCACTGATATGCTATAAAATATCTCTACAAAATCATAAAAACTTATATGAAACTTATATGAATCTATCAAAAAAGCAACATAAGCAGAAAGGATAAGGTATGTGCATAACAGATTTGAGAGCTTTATTCAAATAATTCGACAATAAAATTTTTATACAACAGCTCTGTGAGATAGTGTGCGAATAACTGATTGCAGAAGCAGAATTATTAATATTCTAGTCCTGTATTGGTCGTCTTATATGCTTACCAATACCTCTTTCCTCTTTCGAGCGCTGCCTTTGGAAAATTATAAAGAAGTACGAGTATAATGCAGCATGAAAAGGATGCTTCATAAAAGTGACTGCTATTATATACCATTGCCAATCCTATAAGCTGTATAAATATAAAGTTATTTTTATATCAATAAATGCAGAATAAATTCAAAAATTATATCAATAAATAAATTTAAGAAACAAGTATTTTACTGTATAAACAACATACCTGCAAAAACCATTGTATTATTTGTTTTGTTCTTTTATTGGTAACTGGACCAAAACGATAACAAATTACAAAGCTAATCAGAGAGGTAACAAGAATGTACCACATAACCCATTCTCTGTATTGTACTATAATTAAATGCGTATTTTCCCACAATACTTGAGCAAGATAAAGACTCATTGGTACAGCAAACATTAAGTACATAACTTTTCCCTTAATGAATAAAAGATAATTTAATAGATATTTTTATAAAGAATTATATTTCTCTTCAATAAAATATCATTATGTTAAAATAATTACCCGTGGTATCAATTTTCCTGCCATATATGTTAAAAGTATAATCGATAAAGTGACCCCAAATATTATGCCACAAGCATAATAAAATAATGAATTTCGACTTAATATATATGCGTACCAGAAAATAATAATACCTATTATCATCATTGTCAATCTCCAAACATTGATACCTGATAAAGAATAAAGATTATTAATTATGTTAATACAAAAAAATAATTTTATCGTTAGATTCAGATGCTTACGTGTTTCTGTTAGATTTGTTATATATCCAGATTCATTAGAAGATTCTATGTAAACTCCTATACATGTATCTTCAAAAGGGTTGATTTTTAATTGTTTATGTTTTTTTGTATCAAACAAATTAAAGTTCCATGATTTCTGATTATCATTGTGTTTTTGATGAATTTCTTCCGGGGTTTTGCCATCATACAAAGTATAGGAATCTGAATTAATATCCAGATGCATCTGGAAAAGATTTATGTTAGATATATATATGTATGTATATATGTGTATAAAATTTTTAATATTATTCGTATTATTAAAATTTTTTTACAGTCATAGTTCTCCATATATGTGCCAAGTACTTTGATGTAGCAGTATGGCAATATGTTTTTAATCCAGGATTATTATTTTCCACAGTATCACCTGCATTGAGAAAATGTACTTCTGCAACATTAAATCAAATATATGTTAAAATATTTTCTTACAATTAAAATATTAAAAATTAATATCTATACAATTATCTCGCTCTATTTTCAAGGAATAAAGTTTCTAATTTTCTTGTTCTTATTGAATGTATGTGTTCTATTTAAATGTATAAATTGTATTATAGAAAAATTGATTGAAAAATTTGGTATTACAATTTGATAAAATAATAAATACTTAAAAGTAATTGAAAAAGAGTTGCAAATATAATATGGAAAGATTTTTTTCAAATCAAAATTAATATTTACATATTTTAAACTCACAGTAATTGAATGACACATGTCAATATTTATTTTATAAATTATTAATTTATGTAAAATATTAAATATATCCATAATTAGTAAACAGATTCCGATAATAAAACTCCAAAAACCACTCCAAAATATAAAAAACTTGCATCGTACCCAAAACATTTAAACATATTGTATGACATATTGATACATGGCATTATATTACAATTAATATTTTTGATAACATATTAAACAGAATGTAATTCTTGTGTGACTTTATTGACAACGTCAGATTATTTCAAACATATTTTTTTTAATTGTACGGGTTATATAGGTTAGATAGACTTACTCGGTTCTTCGAGAATACGCGCACAAAAGCAGCAATGAAGCAGACAGAGATATATGAAAATCCATTTCATTAATACGGCCGTTTTATCCATTTTTCTAATTATACAAACTTCTCCTTCATACGTGCTACATCTATTATCATGCTACGTCTATTATCATGCTGATCGCATGCCGACAACACGAAAATAGTAACAAAAAATTTGAAATATGTCGATACAAGAGCAAACGTTTCGCGAGATAATCGACTATCGAATATCGATCGATTGTTGTAAAATCTCGTCATTAAATTTATGTAAATAGGTATGTAACGTAAAATAACGCATATGTATATATTTTTAAACGGAATTCCATATTTTTCTTTTATTTTTTTTCTTTCTTCTCCCTCTCTTCCTGCAAACTACAAATGTACAGTGTAAAAAGTGTAACGTAATGTAGCTAAAGAGAACAGATTTTCAACTGCGAATCGTCAATCGTTTTTCGATCATCCTTGGATCCCACCATTCACCGCGGGCTCGCTTGACATACACAAAAATAACAAATGTTTGTAGAGGGAAATAACTTTTATTATAGAAACTGTCACAATTTGGTAAGAAATAATACACAGTTTAGAGATTGTGAATATAATAATGAGCCAATTTATTACAGTACAAGGTAAATATATGTAATCTTAAGTCATGATCGATTCCAGCATGTATAGATTGAAAACCAACAATATTATAATTTTTTTTTATATTTTCTTATGTGAGTATGTTTTAGTTGGTCAATGCGGGAATCAAATAGGTTCAGCTTTTTGGCCCTTAGCCTTACACGAATATGGTATCCAGACTACTAGTGGTGGTGTAAATTTGCTCAAAGTACAACGAAATCATGTCAAACATATTAGTGATCTCTCAGATGCATTTCCTAGTTTCTTCCACGTTCCAGTTAAAACAGATAACTTGTACTTTGAAAATGTAGCTGACTTAAGCAAGGCAAAAGTTAAAGCTAGAGTGAGTACATTTTTCTCTATATTCAATTGCTTAAAACTATTGCAAAATAATTAAATCGTTTCTTAAATATAATTTAATAAAATAATCATCCAAAACAGGCTCTTTTGATAGATATGGAAGACAGTGTTGTATCTAGATTTAAGCAAGGTCCATTGCGTCAGTTATTTGACCAAACATGTATTGTAACAAATTATCCAGGATCTGGAAACAATTGGTAATTATAAAAAGACAATGTTTATATATATATATCCTAGATGTAATTTAAAAATATAATAAACAGAGTAACATGAGATTTAAAAAAATTTATTTCTCTTCAATAGGGCAATAGGATATCATGTTCATGGTAGAGAATATCATGATCGTATAGAGGAAAGTATAAGACACATGGTTGAAAAATGTGATCGACTTCATGGGTTTTTATTAATGCATTCCTTAGGAGGGGGTACTGGATCTGGACTAGGCACAGCAACCTTAAAGCTATTAAAAGATTATTACTCTCATGTAGAAAGGTGCTTATTGCGAATATTATATATGTAACATTATGTAAACACATAATGTTACATATAATATATATAAAAATTAAAGATATACAATATTTTAGGATTGTATCATGTATATATCCAGCAAATATACAAGATACTGTAACTGCTCCTTACAATACTTTACTTGCAACTCAAGAACTTATAGAACATGCTACATGTGTATTTCCTGTAGAGAACAAGGCTCTTTTAGATATATGTAATAGTCAAATGAATAAAAGAGAAAATACAAATCAAATAAATTATAACGCTTCATGTAAACCATTTCAAGATATGAACAGTATTATTGCCAATATGCTCTTGCACTTGACCAGGTAATTAAGTTTTCTCAAACTCATATATAATAAATTTAAAACTTGTAAAGACAGAAAGAATTTCTGTTTTAGTGGATCCAGATTTCCAGGAAGTTTAAATATGGATATGAATGAAGTAGCTACAAATCTAGTACCTTATCCTCAATTACATTACATATTTAGTAGTGTCAGTCCTATAACTTTATCCGCTCCAAATATGTGCACCATGCAAGAACCAAAGTACATAGCACTTTCTGCCTTTAGTTTTTATTTTAAAATTAAGATTTAGAAAGAATCTGAAATATTAATACCAATGTTTAGGTTGCAGGATGAATTATTTACTAATGCATGGTCGCGAAATAATCAACTAATTAAGTTAGACCCTCTTCAGTCTACCTCTGTAATTCTTGCTGCTGCACATATTGCAAGGGGAAATACGACTTTAACTGATATAAAAAGAAATGTTGAAAGGTACTTTTTTCTTAAAGGATTTTAATTTACATATTTTTAATTTATTAATTATTTTATATTTATACAACTAGAATTACTCTTTGTTCATAGATTTCAAAACAAATCAAAGTTTACCTCATGGAGTAGGGATTGTATGAAAATAGGATTATGTTCCATTCCTCCAGCAGGACACTCTTCATCATTATTGTGTCTTCTTAATTCATCTACTATGTCTTTGTTATTTAAAGATGTAATTCAGGAGTTTTCCAAGTTGTATAGGAAAAAGGTACATAATGATACAAAACTTAATTTTTTTATGAATAGACACAATTGTTTCCATTCTGACTTTTTTTTTTAAATTTATGAATAAATGATTTTTTTTAAATATAAGTTTAAAGATTGCATGATTATAAAAAATATAAAATGAATAAATAAAAATTATATTTTTTTAGGCACATATTCATCATTATACACAAGTACATGGATTTGAAGAAACACAATTTATTGAAAGCAAAGAAAATATTCTCCATTTAAGCGAATGTTATGCAGAAATACAGAATATGAAAGAGACAAACATTTCTAGATTACAAGTAATTTAACAAATTTATAAAAGAAAATTTAGAGAAATGGAACATAAATGTTACATCATTTATACATATTGTAAAGAGGATTTTTTTTCTTGATATTATATCAATATCTATTTGTTTTTTAAACTTTTTATATATTTATATATACACAACATAATTTAATAAAAATAAGTGACTTTAAGGATAATAACAAAAGCTTATTAGTATAAAATGAAACATATGTGCAAGATTTGTCAACAAAGCTTTAGAACATTATCTACATCGCAGGAATATTTATTAGAAAAGCTTCATGTTTTTGTATCCTATATCTTTCAAGATTCACATATCTTTGGGCATGTATGCAAATATATTTTTAACTTACATTATCTTATTTATACATTTTTTGTGCTCTTAGCTAGCAGGTATTTGTGGCAAGCCAAACTCGTCCACTGGAACGCCATCCTATAAACACATAAATAATCTTATTACATCAATAGTTTTTATTTTAATCTAAAAACTATATATCTTTTTTTATTGTTATGCTGTTTTAGCTATAACGTTATTCTTTAATTATACAAATATTCTTATTAAAATAAAGACCTTATTTTTGACAGAAGCTGCTCCAGGTTCTTTATCTGGAGCACTAGGTGCTTTAATAGCATCATCTAAGAAACTAGTATCTTCATCCAAAGCAAGGTCATCACCAAGAGCCTCCAGTTCTGCTGCAAGCTCATCATCATCAATTTCTGGCATCCCATAACTACGACCCATTGCTTCTTGAACTTCATCAGCTTGTTCTAACATATCTGCCAAATCATCTTGTAAATCCTACACACAAAGATGAAAAGATATGTATTTAGTAAAAATTTCAATCAACATTTGTATCCCAACTTACTTCAATTTGATCAATATTGATATTTTTGAATTCCTTTTGCATTTGTTTGACACCGTCTTTCATAGCGACTACAGTTGCCTGGGTATCTTTTAACGTTTGAGTGGCATAGTTGGCTTGCTCCATGTTAAATGCCTGCTGGCGCAGATTGTCTACTTGGGCTTCATACATTTTCCGCTGTTTCAGTACACGTAGCGCCTTAGCCTTCACCGCGTTCTTAGCTGGTCCATCTCTCATCTTGAGCATCTGATCTTTGTACTTTTTCAGCTCCGCATCTAATCTGGCTATCTTCTTCTCTGCAGAGTCCGCCCTACTGTCAACCTTGATGAAGGTATCATATATTTACCAAACAAGTTTCTCTAAGTCATAAAATATCTGGTATCATAGTGTTTAACATAAATTGTATAAATTTTCCTCGATATAAATATCAGAAATAACATAGTGTAAAGCAGTGAAAAATAAGAATGTTGTTTTTCTAACAACAAATTCACCATACTTACCCCTGCAATGCAGTCGGTGATGCTAGGTGGTGGTTCTTTAGGCTTGCCACGTCCGAAAAGTCTATTCATTTTTGCGAATTAGAGTTATTATTTCCAATGAGACAATCTTCACGGGTTATATCTTTCGATCTGTCAAAACGTGAGGTCTGGTTAATTACTCCGGTAATTCAGATAGATAGGACAAACGCGTAATGCGAAAGACGGGACTCTAGACGAGCTGCTGACGTCTCTGTAGACAAGGATACATTTTCCAATAGTGAATCAGCTTCTATAGTGATTTTTAAGTCGCAAGCACTGAGAACGTTCGATTGACCAATCAGGACAAAGTATCCTTTATTCCGATTGGTCCACGCGTTTATAGCGAAAGGAACCTCGGCTACTTTCGGACTCGTTTTAAATTTTAGTAATCGATCTGTTTATTTTCACATTCTAAAAAAATTAAGGACTTAATTGAACTATTATCGATCCAAACGCAATTATTCAAGGAGAATTTATTTCAAAACGATATTTTTGAATACAGGGTCTAGAATAGACGAGAAGAATGTTAAAATCATATCACACAAGTAAGGTAATGCAATTATAACCAATACTAAATTCATGTTTTTTTCCACAGATCCATCTTTATATTCTACTTTTTTATTTCACTTTATATCGCAGAGAAATTCAATATTCAAATATATACCCAAAGATTAGAAAATGCAAATTATTCCTCAACCAAATAATTCAGATAATTCAGTTCTTACGCACGAATACAATTTAGACAAAGTCTCCGAAAAAAAGATCAAAAATGCCGATTTTGCAAGGAAATTAAATTAATCTCGAGGCTTTTATCATCGTTATCAGCGATAGCAGAAATCTCGACAAAATTAGATTAGATTACCCTCTCGTTTGGCGGAAACACCATATCGCTATAGCATCTAATATACACAAAGTTACATAAGTAAATAAGCATAAGAATGTGCGTATCACGAGCAATGTAGGCCGCATCTGTGGCCATAGTTCGCATGCCGTAGCTAATAATGGGAGAGATTTACCGCACATCGCGCAGCCTCCTGACAAGACAGCTCGTCGCGATACCCCGGGTACGAAGACGCGCGAGATTCGAGTGTAATTACGACTCATACTTTATTCTGTCTCGTTCTGGGATGCTCGCGCGAGATGCTTGTTATCCGCAGCTATAAATCATTCGTCGCGATATTTTTATTTTACGCAGCCAACTTGCAATCTCCCGTATATACCATAGGCTGTCTCATTTCTCATTCTTCCCTTAGTACGTAACCGAACGGCTCTTATCAAGCGACCGCTTATCAAGCCGCTCGCTCGCGATGCTTGCGTTAATTGTTATTGGGAAAAATTCGAATAAAGGTATATAGTACATTTTACGATCATTACGAATGACTTTTCACTTGATAATATTGAGATTTGATTTTGCCTTTGCGAGCATTTCATTTTGAAATTTTTCACCAATTTTTAAGAACGTCATCTATCCTATTTATCTTATTTTTTTACTTTCTTTTTAACTGTTACATTGGAAAAGGAAAAATTATGATTTATTTTCTTTTAGATGCAATTTCCAAAAGTTTAAATTAATTTCGTCCTAAAATTCATTAATTTAAAAATAACTTAAAAATAATTTGAAAAAACTACTGCAAACTTAACGTAAAACTTAACTAAATATTTAATAATTTTAGGACACTCTGTATAACCAGAGGGTCACGAAGAGGAGGGTGGCAGCTAGGAGGTGTACACGGGATATGGGGTGACAGGCGTCGCGGTGGTGGTTTCGGTGCGGCCGCGATAGCGATGGCGACACAACGTCAACGTCAGGGCGCCTGCGTCAACAGAATCGCCGACGCAACGGCGGCGACGGCGACGGCGAGGACGACGACGACGACCACGACCACGACCACGATCACGACCACGACGAGGAGGCCGATCAGCAAGTGCACGGACGGCCGGGCGAATATCGCCGAATGCGCACGGTTTGACGCGCGAGGTCACACGGCGACTTATACTCGAATACAGGGCAGTGGCATGCCCCGATCCGCGGCGCGGCCGCAGTGTTCCAAGAGTCGGCACGACGCACGAATCGCACCGCTGCGGCGCGCGCGCGCGCGAAAGGCACACACGACGACGACGACGACGACGGCGACGACGACGACGAGGCACCAGCAGCGGCGGCAGCAGCAGCAGCAGCAGCAACAGCAGCAGCAGCGGCGACAGAGGAGAGACCACGAAGTCGCGTCGCCGAAACGCGTTCTGCTGACTGGAGTTTTCCGGGCCTCCTCCTCCTCCTCCTCCTTCTCCTACTACTACTACTCTTCTTTACAGCTCCATCAATTTTCCTCTCTCTTTCTTTCCCCTCTGCACTATTTGAGCGCGGTCGACGGAGGCCCGAGGGCGTACGCGCGACGGAGAAGATACAGAGGCTAGACGACGGTGAGACAACGGTGTGTCAAGGGAGGGAAAATATGCGAACCGATCGGGTGGCAACGTTAGACCGTCGCTAGCACCTCGTAGAGGAGGAGGTGGGAGAGACCGACGTATACGTGTGCGGTCAGAGGTGGTGCACGGATATCGTGTGTAGGCGGATCGGTGGTGGAGGCGGTGGAAGAGGCGAACCACAGGTCGCCCGCCGCGCGCGGACACCGCAGTGTGCGAATCCGCTCCGATTGTCCGCTCCGATTTGCCCGGGTGGATACACGTCGTAGTCGACGGGCACGGTGAAGTGGTAGTAACCCTGACCTGACCCCCGCGCGCGCTACGCACCTCGGACTCGCGCTCGCGTTTTGTCATCAGTATCCCCGCGAGGCTCACGGTGTGTGCGCGTGCAACAAACACATCGCCGAGCTCTCCTCCGTCCGCGTCGCGCGTTTCACGTATGTAACGGGCTTATTGACGATCGATCGATCTCGCGAGCGCGACACCGATACGCGTCGCGTAACAATCGGTGATCGGCGAGACGAGGAGTAGTACACGACTATCGTTCCGCGAGTGCCCGCGAAGAAATTCCATGGATTATCATCGTTCTCGTATCAGTCCTCACTCATCTCGAGGAAATCTTGCGAGCTTAGTGTGACGGTCGTCGGCGAAAGACGCGAATCCGTCATTTTGTCGGGTTCAGGGTGGAAAAACATATCGTGTATACGCTCTACACGCTCTTCCTTCCTCCCGTCCTCCACCTTCTCCTGCTCCTCCGTTTCTGCGATACGATCCGCGGAGCGACCTCGCATCGTCGTGTGTGTGTATGTGTGTGTGTGGTAGTGGGAAGCAAAAGGTAGTCGCGCGCGCTGCGTTGCGTATTTGGGAGGATTCCAAGTGGTCCAGCGGTGTGTTTCCGTCAGAGGATCAAAATTATGTTCGCCAGGGGGTAGTTCTCGGACAAAACGTATACGAGGACGGTGGTCGAGCGAGCGAACGAACGCGGGGGAGGTAGTCAAGAGTAGCTTCGTAACGAGCAGCGCTTCGCATCGGAGCGCCGCGACGACGATGACAACCCGCGTCGCCGAGTAATCTTGGCTCTTCGACAACCAAGAGGATGCCACGGGGACAGAGTCGCTGCCGAATTGTACCGGGGCGACGTGACGTCAGCGGGATCTAGAGAAGCGTTTCCGACGAGAAGCATACGGTTTCGTGATAAGAAAACGCGGAGACACGAGAGTGAGACTACGCACCGTGGACTCTCTTGAGGAAAAATAGACCGAGGCGGTGAAAATAGAAGGTGGAACAGAATAGAAGATAAGAAGTCGGACGAGGAAGAGAGAGAGAGAAAAAGGTGCGGAGAGCGAGAGTGCAGAGGGGCAGACATACGACGAAGAGCATCATCGCGCGACGTGGCCTCTCGGTTTCCGGGGTCTCTCTCTCCGTGGGTGTTTTTACGCGTGCGGCCGTGGATCGATAGTTTGTCCCGCGAGCTCGTGCTGGACAGAAACGACGACGAGTCGCACTACGTGGAAGAGACCCGCGCGATTCTCTCGCGTTCAACGACAACGACACCCTCGTGCCGCGAGTAACGGGACCCCTGGGAGACGAGTAGAGAAGAGGAGCGAGTTTCCGAGCGGGCCTAGCTGAAAGTGCTGCTTAACGCGACGGTTGGACGCAACGTTTCGCGGTGATTTATGGGGGACTACAGCACGACAAGTCTCTTTTCCAGTATTCTGACCAGCTCGAAACCCAGCGCGACCACAAGCAACAGCGGCACTGGCAACAATAGCAGCAATAACAACAGCAGCAGCAGTGGTAACGCCATCGGCAGCGCCGCCGTCACCGTAACAACATCCACGATGCAGGACGATCTGCTGATCGAGAAGCAAGCCACCGGCAAACCAGCTCCGCTCTCGCCGAGCAACGCTCTCGACGCAGTGGCCGGACAAGACAAATCCAAGGACGCGATCGAAGCGGAGAGTATCGCCATCACCCCGACGACGCCCTCGTCGACGGATAAGGACATTACGTGTAGCACGACCTCGGCCCTGCAGGGCTTCGCTGATCCCAGCAGCCGCGTACCCAGCCTCTGGTCCGCGCCGGATGACAGCGGCTTGCACGCCGCGTTACCTGTCAACGGCTCGATCGCCGCCTTTCAGAACTTTCCGACTGGCGGGCCCGCGGGCCTGTTCGCCAGCACCGGTGCCGCTGCCGCCGCCGCTGCCGCGGTGTCGACCGGTACACGTCGCGCCATCACAGCCAGCCACAATTTTCCTCAACAACAACAGCAGCAGCAGCATGGTAACGCGGGTGCACCCACGGGCGCCAGACACGGCGGTCTGCAAGTATCGTCCGCCCAACAGCAGCAGCAACAACAACAACACCAACAACAGCAGCAACAGCAACCGCCGCCGACATCGCATCCGGGAGTCTACCTGCCTGGTAAAGGCTACGCCGCGTGGTCGGGCGGGCCGCAGGCGCCTCAGCAATGGGGCGCGGGCCCGCAAGCGGCCGCGGTCGCCAGCCCGGGCCTGTCACCTTGGAATCGCGGCAGATCCGTGCCTAATCTACCGCCACTGCACTCGTCCCTGCACGCTGCCGCGGCGGTGGCAGCCGGTCTGCAAGGCCGGAAGCCCAGTCCGACGTTTCCGGGCCATCCGGGTCCGGCAGCAGCGCATCCCTCTTGCATCAGCCCGGTCAAGTTCCGTCGGAGCACCTCGTATCCCGGCAAGGGCAACATATATCCGCCTCAGCCGGCACCGACCTTCGAAGTCACCGCCGCCGAAGAGAGGGATTTGCTGCAGCTGCCCCCGTTCCAGCAGGTAAGTCGATTTTCAAGTTGTCTCGAGTTTAGGAAGCGGTGCCCAAGTTACCGCTTAGTAAGATATTAATAAGCAGGTGGACAAACTTTTCCAGAATTTTCATTTATTTAATTGATTAATTCATTTTTCTAACAACTCGGGAAAATTAATGGAGATGAAATTGAGACTTAATTTAATTCGAGAAACAGAATATTTCAATTTTAAAAAATTAATTTTCGAGTTCTGAAAAAAGCGAACTGGAGCAACAATGAATGTCCTAATTTATTCATCTCCGGAATGAGAATTTTTCCACAATCCGTTGGAATGAAACACTTTTGCGAGGACAAACAGCTGCTCGACTGAGTGCTCAATTTCCCAAGGATTTTTAACTAACTGGTTTTCTCTTGTTCTTTTCTCTACTTAAATAAACTCCCGCCCATCTCTAATTGATTAATGAATTTAAAGCCAGAAGTTAAAGCCAACATCGCATGTTTAATTATCAACTCCAGAAAAATATCTTCGGATATTAATCACGTGCCAGTCACACAGGAAGCTAGATTACACTCTTTTCCCTGTACTCGATAGTTGCGAAGATCGCGAGAAAGGAGGAGAAAAAGCTCGAAGAATCGACCTGCGGCTTGTTGTTTCGCTCGATTCGCGGGCGCACCGATGGCACAGACGTTGCCACGACTTTTTTAGCCGAGTAGCATTGCGTTATCGATCGTGGTGGAGAGCAGGTAGTATAGCCAAAGGTACCCGCTTGTAAAACTGCGCCGGCAATCATGCGGTCTCGCAGGCCGACGAGGAAGGCACGCGCGCTCCGACTTCCGCAGTTTCGCGCTCGTTCGGTGTGTGCCACGACACCGCGCCACGTGTTCCTCGTAGCACCAGGAGTTATGCAACTCTTGGAGAGAGAGACGGAAGAAAGAAAGAGAGAGAGAGAGAGAGAGAGAGACACTTCTCGTATTTAAATTTAGCCGATACGTTTCGGCGATTAGTCATGCTACTTACGACGTGACATCGTGGTCTTTAACGGCGTGATAATGTCGCACCGGACAGTCGTAAGCGAATGTAACCTCAGGGCATAACGTGTAATCGGTGGACGCCTTTCCGAGAATGTTACGCAGTCGAATCCAGGTTATCTCTCACCTCGCCGCGCCGCCCATCATTTCGCATATCTATTCGCGTGATAACGAAATTGCGCGTATAATATATATAAGCACTGAAAGAGCAGGTTGAAGCTGTACCGATAGCGTTTCGGAAGTCTTTCTCTCGTATTTCGACGCGATCATATTTTATCGTAATTCATATCGTTGAATAAAAATAATCGATAGCGATATAAAGAAGAAATAAATAATGATATGAATGATGAAAATATGGGTTAGCGCGTTTTTGTTTTCTCAATTCTATATATTTCCACACCTCGCCCCATTTACGTCCTATGCGCACTGACGTTATGTTACGTTTCAAACGTGATATTGATCTTAAACGGAAGCTTTCATTATATGTATATATCTTTCATGCAATATATATGGTTAGTGAATGAATAAATAATTTCGTTTATATGCGGCCACTGGCTTTTTCGCTATAAGAAGCTTAATTCATATAAATTTAATGTAAAATCAACGTGCACGTGTATAATATTACGTTGATATATATTCTAGTACATTGGATGAAATTCGTTTATATTGTTATTACTCTTATTATTTATTATGCGCTTTGTGATAAATCTCTTTAAATTTCATTCAATAATTTTCCGTAATATAATTTTATGAATAACAAAATAATATCTGAATAAAGAAAGTTTAGATTAGTTTACACACGTGCGCGTTAGATTGTTTTATTAAATTATTTCAAAGTTATTTTTTTGAGGATTGCATTTATAAATATACAAATATTTATTTCAAGATAATTTTACATTTTTATGATATGGAACACACACAGTATAGAGCGAGTACAAAAGATAACTAAAAATATGTGTGTAATTATTTATTAATGGTCAAATTATCTATATATATATATATATATATATATATATATATATATAATATATATATAATTATCTATATATAACCATAATGTTTTAAAAAAGTACCATAATGTTTTAAGTTTGACCAAACACTTTTTATATAGCAAATAGGAATTATCAAGGTTATCATTAATAATCGATTTCACTTATTTTTTGTTATCTGGTCGCACTATCGGAAACTATTTCGCTGATACTTATTTTGTCGTTCAAGTCTGACCTAATTCCTTTCCAACGTAGTAACAGTGTCTAGCAGAAGTTTAAGCTCAGCTATTTTAACCATCACTCGAAAATAGATCTGCATACTATTCGAGAGAAATGGCGGATGTCGTCATGTTGTCAGCTATTAACTCCACGCACCGCGTGTTCTAACACATTTATATATTTATATATAATATAATACTTTCCTTCACATATAATATTTTCCCGTATTTTCTTAACGATTTCAAATAATGTGAAGCTTATGGTATAAAATTGTGATAAAGTATCTATAAAATATTTAAAAATAAATATTTTCTAGTATCTAATAATATAACACACACAATATAAATATCTGTGATATATCCGCACTGAAAAGTGTAAATAAATAAATTTTTAACCTTTAGAGATTTCAAAATGTGTAATTATATGTACTGATATTATATCTGAAAAGTATTTTAAAATTCTTCCAAGTGTTATATAATTATTCTAATCAATTTATTAACAATTTATTAACGCTCTATACTTTTATATATGCATTAAAATTCTGTTTTTATTATTTCATATTTTAATTGACAAAGAATTATTTTGACATTTTTTGGCTGATACACAAAAATTCGTCATTTCGTCAAATTTATATCGGTAGACATCTCATAACTGCGTTTCAAGGAACGAACAGGTGAGCTACAGAGCGCAATGCAAGATGGTCGTTTATCAGTAACCTTAATATCGTTGATTCGACTATACATCGCCACGAACAATTAGCTCATACACAAACAAGTCGTGAATATGCGACCCATACATCGATTCAATTAAACTTTACCTCCAGTAGAAATTACGGTATAACCCACGCTTCTCTCTCGAGATATTTTTCTGAAATTTTAGTTATCATGTTAACATTTAATGTTGTAAAACTATAATTTATTCTATTGAAATTCTCTTTTACATGTGAAAAGTGTTATATGAAGTTAAAAAAATATAATATACATTTTTAATTTTATATTTATATTAAAATTATTAAATTTTATATATCAAATTCATATTTCTTGTTCATTCTTCTTTAAAAAATTCCGTTTTAAATATTTCAGAGGGTGAATAATGAAAAATATTTGCATAGAGTTTAAAGCATTGCCTTTTATCGTTTATTACCATGAAATATAACTCCTTTTTATGCGCTTTAATCAAATTCGCATCATTTACATTATCCATCATATAACTATAGCAATTCATATTGACGTGAACCATTGTATTCCAATCGTAATCAATAATAGTAGGAATTAATATACGATAACACGAGGAGCGCAAAAATAACTGTATTTTTTCGACAATTTTCTGATTTGTGCCGCGGTCTCGATTCACGCGATCCATTTCTGTGTGGGAACAGTCGATGAATAATATACGAGCACAAGTATCGCGGATTATGGAAGGTGCGCGCGCACGCGCCCAAGTAATACGCCTAACAGAGCGAAGAAATGTTCGAAGTCCGATAACTCATTGCTCGTCATTCACCTTGAGAAGGGGAATCGGAGCACGTGTAGTAGGTCGCCTCTAGCCGATATGTCGAGAGGACCAATCGCCAATGAATACATACACATGCATACGATACGATCGCTCGTGTGGGTAATCGCGTTGCAATACGTAAAAAAAAAAATAAAATTGTAACGCGATGGATGGTATACGCGTAGAGATAACGATTTTTATTGCCGCTGCTTTTACTTGTGCGGCAAACTTGAAACGTCATTACGAAACGTGGCCTCGCTGTTGAAATGGGTCTGACGAAACGCGAAGAATCAGAACTTCGCTTTGGCTGGCCCGCACGTGTTTCCCGGCCAATAGCGTTTCTATTTACGGCATTTTATCATGCAACTGGGCTAAAACGATGTAATAACGCCTACGAAAGTGTCATGTGGCTGACGAGTCTGCGATCGTTGGAAAAAACGGAGAGGCGGCCCGCAATATGTCGCGCGAAGGTCGCCCTCGTTCCGGGGTCGAAATTGATCTCCGATAGATCGAAGGTGCGCGAAGCTAATTTTATTCCGTGTGCACGTCCGACGGGAAGAAACACGAAAAGACTTTCTTAGGAAACTTTTTATCCGCATGCGACAAGTCAGCCGCAGCTACTTCCAAAGTTTCTTGTGTGCATTCTGCCGAATAAATTTAAAGAACCCTGTATACATGTACTGCCTGCCTTAGATTTTTTCCCGTGTTTCTCTTTTGTCTACAGATTCTTTGACAAGTTGATGTGTCTATTCTGTAAAAATGCTCTATAACGCTGTATCTCTATAAGCTATGTAGCACTGTAGAGTAAAAAAGAAAGAGCGAAAAAAAGAAAGAGCTAAAGAGCTACAGAGTTACAGAGCTTACAGAGCGAAAATTTTCTTACCGAATATACGACTAAGTTTTTTATTGCCAAAAATATCGAAATATATATATACTAATAATTTTAAAACTGTGATAGAAATGGTAGAAAAAATTTTTAGAATTTTTAAAACATAAACTTGAGAAAATTATTCTTTATAAAATAATTTTCTTAATTAATCCACACCGAATACTCTTGGAAAATTTGTATTTGCAGAATTAATTATGTATGTGTTTTCGTATTAAAAGGTTGCAAAAAGAAATGTGACGTTCAATCTGATTTTTCTGAAATGATTTATTATTCGCTGCGGTTTTCTTTTTCTATCTTTAATGATCTTTATTTTAATGCCTTTATCCTGTATCTTCAATATAGTTAATGTTAATTGCCTTGTTATATTATCTTAATATAACGAGTACAAGTATTTTGTCTAATTTTTAT